AGAAGGATTAACTATATTCAAAGTAACTAAATAATATTTTTAGAAAGACTCCTGATCTATTTGATAATTTAGAAAAAGATTATAAATATATTTCCATATTTGAAATTGAAGTTGATAAATATTAAAAAGAATTCAATATCAAATCAAGAATATTAGGTTTGAAAGGATCTAATATAATTAGAATATTATATTTAGTTGAAAAAGCTTTTTCTTTTTAAACAAAAGGTAATTCAAGTAATTTGTAAGAGTTGGATGTTAAATTATTGGTAGATGAATGTAAATTTATATTATATTTAGAGAATCTGAAAATTAGTTGATTTTGCTTGGTAATTAATGGAATAAAGTTCTTTTAGCATAAATATGCTAATGAATTATTTGCACAAATTAAAGAAGAATTCAAATTCTTTTAAGATTTTCAATAATAAGGATTAAAAGAATCTAGAGTTAGAAGAATTGATAAATTTGTTCAACCAGTTGAGGTTTAATATTCATATGATGCAGATTTGTGATTAATTTTGAGTATTTTTTATATTTGTGTTTGTTGTTTTAATAATAAGTTTTTTTATTAAATAAATAGTACTTATTAGTAAATTATTAACACATTTTGTTTTATTAAGTATGAAAATTTAAAAATTTATAATTATATATATATATACGCTAATATTAATTCTTATGTACTCATGTTTGAACCATAAATTTATTAAAATGAAAGCTTTAATAGTTTTATTTTATGTGCATATTTTATAAAATGCATTACATTTTATTAGTAAAGTCATAGTATCTAAATTTATCATATGGTGATAACTAGCAGTTTCCAAAGTAAATAGATTTGTTTCTGGGCTAGAACTGTAATATTAAATATGATTTAGATATATGATTATCATTAACAATTAATAAATTTGGCTAGACAATCAAAAGTAATGGCTTTTTTAGAGAATTAGAATAAGATGTGAATTGTTTACATACTAAGAACTTAAGCATATAATTAATAGCCGATAATCCATGCACAATACAAAGAATTTTATTCACAATTTAATTTAAATATAATTTATTGCAACACATCTTTGAAAATATTTATTCCAACTGTAATCTCATTTTTAAGGCCTCCATACTTATACTTATGTATACATCTGATATTTGATAATCTTTGGCTAATCTTTGAAACCTGAACAATTTTTTAGAGCAGGGACAATAATAAAATTTATATGATATATGTTCATCCATTGATTTTCCATTTGTATGATTAAATAAAGTAAATTATGTACAACCTTTAAGCAGAATACATTAGTTTGATGCTTATGGACAGATATTTTCAGCCAACTCTGTATATTGATATCTCACACAATTGTTTTATTGGATGCAAAAAAACTTAGTAAAGTTTATACTCAATTTATTGATGATATTAAAATTATACATCTGCATTTGTAAGGGTTAACTTGACTTAATAAAAGGAATAAAAAAATTATTTTTTGGTCAATAATAAATAAAAAAAAAATTAATTAAAAAAGTTTTAATGATTTAAAAGTTAATGAGTAAAATTAGACAAGTTTTAGAATTTTTAATTAAACTTTAAATTTTACTTTTTAATATTTATTTTATTAAATATATTTTTTCATATTTATATTTGAATAAATGATCATCAAATCAAAAATATTACCCGATAAATACATATGTTTAGTTGCATCTCTAAATTTTATGTGGTTTTAGAATTTTTTGATAAAAAGTAATTGAAAAATAATTCATATTGTTTGTAAGAAAAGCGATTTTTATGATCTAAAAATAAGATAGAGTAATTGAATACATAGTGTGAATGAATTTAAGAAATATAAGTAAATAGAAATTGGAATCATAGATATATGAGTTTAAATTCTTTTATAAAACTTATAGATTGAAAAAGAATAAGTTTATGATCAACAATTCTTAACCTAAAGTTCATCCTATTTATTTGGAGTATTTGAGTATTTAAAATATAAACCCATATCATTAAAAATTCTCAAAATAATATTATTATATAGCATCATTTATTTCTAGGAGGGCTTCCAAAGGTATTTTTTCGAAATACTTACAATTTTCGAACTTCTTAGCTTAATTATTAATATTCTTCTTTTATGAACTTTATCATTTCTTCTTTTGAGAACTACCTTTTTTCATCATAATTCTTCTGTTCTTATTATTATTCTTTCTCATTTACAAGTTCTTTTATTTAATTTAATATCCTATTTAATCTTTTCTAATTATCAACTTAATTAGATATTTTGCTCATTTATATCTTTCAATATTATATTGAGCCTTTTTATTATGTAAAATTCCTTTTAATATTTTGATACCAAATATTATTATGTAATGATTTTTACTTTAAATTTAAAAATATTTATTAACTTATCTTTGCATAAATCTTAAATTTAACTAATTTTTTTACCAATCAAGAATTTTGAAATGTACTTCTTTTTATTCATCATGAATCGATTAAATTATTATTTTAAAACAATATGATTAAGTAATATTTTTTATTATTTAATTTATTTTATCTTAGATTCATTCAATAATATTTCAGAAATATTTCCATCATTAGTTTTTCTGAAAAATTACATCAAATAATAATAAGACATATTATTATCATCTTAAAATGTATTGATAGTAGGAAAATTTTATTTTATTATTCTATGCAGCCATGATTATAAAAGCATTTATTAAACGTTTCTCAACTAATTTGCTGAGTTAGAGTTTAATAAGTTTTGCTATAATGATAAAAAGTTGTGTCGGGAGCTTGACTTTTATAAATAATACTTTTTAGATGACATGGTGTAGCATTTAATAATTTATATAAAATGTTAAGGGGAGGTGGAGCTTGTGCTTCTTAAAATAAATAGCAATCTATGTCTATCAGCTCATTATAAATTTCTAATCAATTTGAGAATGTTCTATCTTGTAATGTCCTCTTGTTATCAAAAAAAGCTGAGGATTTTAACAATAATTATTCAGAACTTTACAATAGTCTTTATATACTGTTATCACTGGATTAAGAATTAAATAATCTGACCAAATCAAGAAATCAACTCAATAAATAGATTGAAAATTTAGAGAAATGCCTTAGAGACGTTCTTGAATCATGTTAGAAATTAAATAATCCGTAACTTCGATATTTAGCAATCCAATTTGCTCATAAATTATCAAGAACTATTTTTTGGCACTACTGCTAAGCAAAGTCAATTAAAGATAGAATGCAATAATAATATATTTCTACTTTAAATAAAATTGAGACTCTAAATAATGCTTTCGACAGTTTTTATAAAAATATGATTGAGTATGAAATTGTGGTTTGTAAAATGATATTTGTAATCATGCCTAATGATTTATAAGAAGGCTTAGAGATTATGGCCTTATTTACAAGTTACAATTAGATTCTAATGAATACTCTTCCAAAATCAACTTAAGATACTATTAAAAGTGGAGTTGTCTAATCAATTCGAGATGCTACTAAAGTCTAATATAGAAAAATTTATAAATAAATCTTTAATATAGATACAATGAAATGGTGGGTTATTTAAGAACTTCGATAAAATAATTATTCAGCAAAAAAAATAATTGCAGAATTACATAATTTTCATAAAGATTTATCTAAATCAGATTATTATATACACTAAGCTTGGATTTAAGCTATAAGTGATATTGTATCTTATTCTCCTATTATTTCAGATGATTAATTATAGTCTATTAATACAGATTTACAAGATTTAATTGACATGGGTTGTTTATAAAAAATTAAGAATGAGTATCTCATTACACTTAACTTTCTTAAAATAAAAAATTAATCTTGTCAATAAATTTATGAAAAGATAAATTTCTATCCTATGCTTAAATAAATTTAATCATAAATTATCACCTAAGATAAATTCTTCAATTCACTTTATAAGAAAAAAGATGAGTTGAAAGAATCATAAAAATAAGAATAAGAAACAAAAAATGCATTTTAATATCTTTTTCAATTATTTGTTGACATTGATATAGAAGCTCATATTGATTTGATTAAAAAAGTTAATTAAAGCTATTCTGAAGTAAATGAGAATTTATCTTTAATTAAATAATTAAGTCTAAATAAATGGATTAGAATGTTAGAAAATAAATCATATGATGATCCTATTGTTTTTGGAGAATTTGAAGAAAAATAAAAGTAAATCAAACATTTGATAAATTAAGTAAAAGCAATCCAAAATTTTCTTATTCGTTTTGATTTTATTCTTTTACAATGGAATATTATGGAATAGATAATAAATTAAGAAGGTAAGACATCATTATTACAATCAATTTTTTAAGAAAATTAATAAAATTATCTTGATTGCCATTTAATAAGTAAAGCTAACTTGGAAAATTTAAAGGATGTACAATTATTAAATATCAATTTTGATGTTTACTTCTCAATTATTACTGAATATATTGAGAAATAATATCAAACAGTTTTTAAAGTTCTTGAGACAATAAGATCAAGTGATCCAATAATTTCTTTATATAAATAAAATAAAGATGTCAATGAAGTTATTTCAAATAGTTTAAGGAAAGTTAATGATAAAATAATTTAATTTAAAAATGCTTTTATGCGCATTTCTTTTAAGTTCAAATAAGTAGACTTTAATTGCATTTAACAATTTTACCTTGTATCTCTTAGATTACAGTATTTAGAATTTCCAAATTAATAATTTGAGTTTAGAAATTAAGATCATTAAACTCTTTTTTATATTTAAGGGTACGAAAAATAAATAATAAAAGTTTAATTAATAGAATTACACAAAGAGTTTCGAGATTTATTTACAAGTAGCTAGTTTCAAGATTATGAATAAGCAAAGGTTTATATTAGATCAATATAGTTTATTTGTAAAACTCTTGACAATATACTTTATCAAAACAAGAAAATTATCTAACATATTCATAATTATAAGTTATCTATATAAATAGATTATGCTTATGATTATTATAATGATTTAATCAATTCATGGAATACTATGTTTGAAATGACTGAAGAATTAGATTATCAAAAATATGATTAATCCTTTATTTAGGTTAAATATGATTAATTAAATAAGACTTATAATTTAATTTGCTAAATAAATACATCAATAAGATGGCCTTTAAATCCTTAATTAGCTTCATATTTTAAGATGTAAAATTAGCTAGAAGCATTAATTTAAGAATTAAAAATATATCTAAGTTACAATCTTAGTTAGGATTTAAATTCTTAAAATAGATATTAAAGTATTATTACAAATATAAAATAAATTTGCTTAAGTTAAGTGCAAAAAGTAAAATCAATTCTTGAGTAGTATACTTAAGGAGTTGATTAATTATCAAATAAGTTAGAGAATCAAACTAATTTTTAGATTGAAGAACTACAAAACCTATTAATAAGTGTATAAGAAGCTTTAGATGATACTTTAAATTTAGTTTAATCTAGGATATAAGCTTCAAATTAAAATTCAACTAGTGGATCATTAAACGTTTTAAATAATAATAAAAAGTAAGATTTTGAAACATTTTATAATTATAAATTCAACTCAGAAACTATTCTTGTTATGTAATTTGTCAAATTTAACTTCAATTTTATTGACTAAAATGCCATCCTAGAAATACTTAAATCTGATGAAAATAATACAGAAAATCTACATATTGTATAATCAGCTATGGAATCATTCATGATTAGATCAATTATGTTAGTAAATTTGATAAATGTATGGAATTGTTGTTTAGTCGAAGAAGATTTTTATACAATCAGTAAATTAATTTTACAAATTAGACTAAATGAAACAAATACGTTAATTAAAAGAGAAATTAAATCAACCTACAAAAAAGAACTTACTTAAATTATTAATAATTAACTCTAAAAAGAATTATAATTTTTTGAATTTGATTTAAAATAAATGATTTAAGAAAGAAATTAGTTGTATTTTTAAATAAAGTATGAACCTTCATTTGAGCTTTCTTAAAAATTAGAAGAAAAAATCAATAAATTAGCTAATCTAATTAAAACAATGATTTTTAACTTTAAGGAAATAGAATAAGAATATAATATTGAGATACCATTTTGTAATCAATTATTGATAGAGTTTGAAAAAGGAGATCAAAGTTCACAATCTTTTGAAATTCATGAGATTAGCTTTTACTAAGGAAAATCAATCACAGAATTATTTTTATTACGAATGGATAGCATTTCAAGAAAAATAAAAATATCTTAGGTTAAAAACACATATGTTGATTTTGTATGCTAAAATAAAAATTAAATAAGAACATTATTTTCTCAGAAAGAAAAAAGAAATGGTACTATAGATAGATTTTTAGATGATTTATAATAGGATTAATTATTACTATTATAAGGAGAATCAGGATATGGAAAAAGTTTAGCAATTAAAATGATTGAAGAATATGTTTGGAAAAGAAATGACCCAATAAAAATTATTCCAATTATTATAAAATTATCAGAATTAAAAGATCCAATTAATAATGCAATAATTGAAACTTTAAGATCTTTGAATTATAAATTAGATGCTTCTTAAATTGATTAACTTTAAAATCATATAAAATCTAATAAAATGCAAATGCTATTTATATTTTAAGGTTACGATAAGTTGGGTTAAAATTTAAAACCTATTAATTTTCTTAAATCCAATAATTTAATTTAATGGAATACACCTTGTTTACCAAATACTCCAAAATATATAATTGTAACTCGAAGTGAATAATTTAAAAATATTAATCATTTGCGTTGGATTGATTAAAATGAAATTAATTATATGACTAAAAATTATTGGAATTTGAAAATTCTTCCTTTTGATTCTGATTAAATCAATCAATTTTTAATTCAATTTTAAGAAATGAGCATTAGAAATTTAGTTATGGATTTTTATTAACTTCTGTGTGAATTTCCTCATCAAGATTTACTAATTTAAAATTTCATCTCATTTTGGAAGAAAATTAATTTTAATTTTAATGAATAGAGTATAGGAAATATATTACTTTCATAACCAATCATCAATAAATTAATAATTACATTATAATAGGATCCAAATATAAAAAATTTTAAAGGTTAAATTACTCAATAATTGTCTAATTAATTAGCATAATTAAAATCAAGCTATTATTATAGTCGAATGTTAGAAAGTCTTCGATATGAGCAACCTATAGATAACCCATAAATTTTAAAGGTTTTTATTAATGCTTTACCAAAATTAATTTAAAAAATGAGTGATAGTCAAAAAATAAAAAATCAGTTTTTTAATAATTATTTGTGTTAAAATTATCTAATTAATTGCGAAATTAATGAACCAATTACCTAATTAGAACAGTATTGGAATTAATTAGTTAATAGTTAATTTTTTAAATTATATAACTTAGATTATTCAGTAATAAAAGTAAAAACAATAATAAATTAATTATTTTAAAAAGATGCATCTTTGATTGAAAAAATTATTTCAGCATTTGAAAAAATTTAAATTACTCACTATGATCTATATGAAGAATATATGAATTATTATTTTGATAAATCTGTTAAAAACTATGAATTAATTGAATAAGGGATTGCTTTAACAGAATTTAGGGAAGAATAATGGAACTTTTGTTTAAATTTTGCTTAATTATTAGCATTCAATGAATTGTTTTCAATAAAATTAAATAATTTAGGAGGATCTGTAAGTGATTTGTAAATAATTTTGAATGACGATAATTATTCAATAAAGGATACTCTTTTATCAAAAAAGTATATAAGAAATTCCATTCCATTAATTGAATAATTCTCAGTTTACTCTTTTGAAAGTAAAATAATTTAGGAATTCTTAGTTGCTAAAGCTATAATAAAATAAATTGAATTATTTGAGGTTATTCCAAATAATGAGTTATTTGATAATAGTCTTCTTAAAATGAAATAATTATCTAACTCATTTTATTATGGAACAGTAAATTTTATTGTATAAAAATTAAAATCAAATTTCTTTTTAAAGTAAAATTTAATAAAGATCATAAAATTATCTTCAAATTATAAAGATTATTGTTAATTATCATCTAATGCCTTTTTTTTATTACTTAAATTAGATGGATTTATTAAAGGTGCAAATTTTTCAAACATTAAAATCAAAGATATTTAAATTGAGGATTGTTATTTATAAGATTGTAATATTTCTGGATCAGAATGGAATAATGTATCTATAAAAAATCTTAGCCTCTTACAAAATAACATGAAGAATATGTATTGCTCAAATTTAAATTTATCCTCTTATATTTTGAAAAATGATTTAAAATATCCTCTTTTTGTTCGTTATTTTAAATCAGGTAAAATTTTTATCATTTACAAAGTTACAATAAAAGATTTAAAGGGAAATTTAATAATTTAGGGCAATTTTGATAAATGCTAAATTTTTGAAATATAAGATAATTTTTATATAATAACACAAAATTACTTTTTCCTTTTAAGAGAACAGAATGATGAAATTCAACCACATTAGTTTGATATTTCAAATATCATATCAGTTACATAATTCGATTAATATATTATGCTTTTATAATTGATTACACCAAATGAGGCTAAAATTTTCTAAATCAATACCAAAAAAAAAGATATCTAATATCAACTACCAATATTAATGTAAGATATTGTGAAATACAATATTAAATAATTTTATCAAATGTAAGGTAATCTTATAGTATTTTTAACACATACTTAATAAGTATCTAGTATGCATTATTAAATAGAGGATGGATAATTATCTTTTGATAATTTGAATGTACATGCTACTTTCAGTAATAGTGATTCTATAAGTTCAATTAAATATTATGCAAACTCGGACATCACTGTTGTGACAAAATAAATGACTGATTCAAACTTAGAGTATGATATAATTTATGGAACATTTAACTAATTGATTGGAAAATTTATTATAATTGAGAATCAAAAAAATTAATTCTTATATTTGAACAATTCAAATTTATAATTGATAAGTTAAGAAACCTTTAAAATTATAAGTGAGTGTGATTTAAATGAAAGTGCTTAAAATTTAAAATAAAACTAGTGTTATTTAATTAATAATGATACTATGCTTTTAACTTTTTCAGATTCCTTTATAATTTTAAGTCTGCAACCTTTTGAAGTAATTAAATAAATTAAGTTAAAAACTAATGATCTCATAATAAATAATAAATTAAATAATTTATCAATATTAACTGAATAAGAACTCTTTTGTATTGATTTATCTTATATGAAAGATAAATAAGATAAAATTATCAATTCTGTATTCTAATTCGATATGACTTATTTTGTAAAAAATTCCTTTAATTTTTTAGGAAAAAGGACAAATTCTTCGGATATTTATATGGGAGTGTTTAACAAAAAGGGTTTTGATTTTTAAAATTTAGGTGAGTCTGATAATTCTAAATTTTATTTAAGTGATGATGAAAATTATGTAATAATTAATAAAAATTCTGAAACTCTCTTTTATGATCTCAAAACTAATACAAAAATGAGTTATGTTAGTTTATCTTATGATAGAATGTTATGGATTAAAGACAACTAAAATTTTTTTTATCTCTAACATGATTTTATAGAAGAGTTTAGAAATTCTGTTATTACTGTAAAAAGCAAGATAATTAATAAATAGTCACATAGATCAATTAAATAAGTTTAGAGTACGGAAAAGAAATTATTTATAACTACAACTACAAATGAAATAATTGTGCTAAATTAATAATTCTAATAGGAATATGTTACAAATAAATTAATTATAAAAAAATATAGAGAATTTTACATAACTTTGAATGATCTAAGATACGAAAGCAATAAAAGAAAAACTATAACAATTCTTTATGAATCTAAAAATAAAATTAAAGATTTTTGGATTTTTTCTGATACCATATTAATTAAGGAGTAAAAAGAGAATGATGAAATGACTACTTTAGTATTATTAAGCAAAAAAGACAATTCTGTAATAAATTAATAATTAATTCAAATAGATCATATTGTCTACACAACCGATGTTATTTAAATTATAAGTAATAAAATATTATGGTTATCATATTCAGCAAAAGATTTTCATTAACTTTAATCTAATATTCTGCCTAAGAATCAAATTTAAATGTCATCAAATAATTTAGATCAAGTAGCAATTGTCAATTCTTTTTCAGAAATTACTATTTGGAGTACATTAACATATTAAATACTTCTCTGTTTAAAAAATATAGAAATAATTTAGTATTTTAAAATAATACCCAATCGAGATTGTTAATTTTATGTTGCTGATAGAGATGTTTTAAAATTTTACCATCATAATTAGGTTCGATTTACTATTTAATTAATAAAGAAAAGAATCTCAATTGTAACTAATACATGGGATGCTATTCATCATATATATTAAATAGAAGATGATAAAATAACATTAAATAGTATGAATGAAGATAGTAAAATAATAAATTGGAAAAAAGTAATTTTTGAATTAGATTCCATAAGAGAGTCAATAAATTGTCTTGATAATAAAGAATTTAGACTTATATACTTCAGTGGATAAAAATTATAACAAAGTAGTTTGGATTCATTTGATATAATTAAAAGTTTAACATTTCCAGAACCTTTCAAAGCCATTTAAATAAAATATAATATTGATTGCTCTTTAATAATTATATCGTCTAATGAAAAATTTGTTATAGTAGAGGCTTCTGGTTTAACAATTGTAAATTAAATTACTTTTAATGAAATATTTTAAGCTTCTTTTGATTATACATCTTAAATTGAAATTTTAATATAAGGAAAGTATAACTTAATTTTAAAATAAAAAAAGGAGATGCAAAACTTAATTTACAATTATTCCTTATCTTCATAAAAATTAGATTTTATTACAGAAAGTAAATATGATTTATTTATTGGATCAAATTAATAGGGTCTTATTATTATTAATAAAAAAACTGGGAAAATTGAACTATACAATCCCATTATCATAGAAAATAAGCATAATTCTATTTCATATATAAAAACCACAGAACATAACATAACTCTGTTGACAAAATGCTAAGTTTTTGGTAATAAATTAGAAAACTGTAATATAACTCTGAATAATCAACTAAATATAAGTGATATTTGGAGAAACATAATTTGAGATAATTTTTTTTTATATTTTACATATAACAATTTAATAATAAATAAGTTTTATTAAATTAAGTTATATACTTTTCTTCATATATAATAAAATATTCGAATTTTTACAAAATACTAAAATAAATAAAGTTCATGAAAGTACTACAATTTAATTATTTTGAATAAGATTATTAATTTTGTATATGGCAACTAGCCCAAGTAATCCAAAAGTCTGTAATAAAATAAGAGATATAAATGTGTTGTTATCAAAATTACTTGAAATGAAAACTAAAGCTAAAATAGCAAATGAAATAGAATAAATAAAATACATCAAATCAACTAAATAAATGAGCTATATTAAATTAATAATTACTTTAGGAAATCTCAAAGTTAAAACAGATATCACTGTTGAAGTCATAGCTGAATCACAAAATCCTGTTGAACATGAGAATACCAAAACTAAAATTTCATATTAAAAATAGTATGAAGTCCAAGCTATAAGGCAACCAAATTAGAAAATATAAAGTATATAGATAAGGGCACTTTATGTTTATAAGCAATATTTACTTTATTTTATCTTTTGAATCTCCTAGCCAACCTATTCCAAATGAACCAAATAACTCACCCACTCCTACATATAAATATCCTTATAATACTAATTTTGCTTAAAATGATAATTTCTTACTACCAGGATAGGCAAAAAATGGAAAAAAATAAATATACAAAAATGCCTAAATAGTGGCAATAAAACATAATAAAAACAATAACCACAAAAATCCTTCATCATTTAATTTCCCTAAAGTTAGAGATATGTTTTAAAAATAATTACGATTTTGATATTTTTCAATTGATATAGAATTCTTTGTATTTTAATTAGAATGAGCTGATTCTAAAAGTTCAACTAGACTTTACTCTTCAATAGAAAAACATTAAAATGTCATAATTGATTTTGTATTAGAGTTTTAAAATGTTTATGATTTAAATAAATGTAAGTCTATTTATGATTATGAGGTTGATTTTGATCTAGGGCTGTGTTCTTCATTTTTAAATGTGTCACTTTCATCATCTTTATCACTATTAATATAAGTTGATTTTAAGAGTAATTCTCTTATTCCTTCAGTTTCTAATTTTGATTAATTTTAAGTTTTGGAATTGTAGTATTCAAATATTGTTCTATAAAATTTATTATATCTACCATTAGATTTTTCAGGAATAGACAAATAAAGTAGACTTACAATAAATTATAATAAAATAAGTATTCCTAAAACTTTTGATATTGAATTTTAAGAATTCATGTTATCATAAGTTATGAAAATTTCACCTATTAAGCTTCCAAGCAACCATTATAATGAATGACTATTTTAATGAAGTATTATTTTACATGAAAAAAAACGCACCATAATAAATTACTTTTTCTTGACTTTTGGAAATATTAGATAAGTAAAATAGCATAGTGAATAGCTATATAGATTGCATTAAACCAGCAATTATGGATACTAAAAGTGCATATAAATATATTATAGCTTTATTACAGCCAGGAGATAAAGAATTTTTACATAAACAAGCATAAGGTGCTGGTGTTAAGAATACTATTGGACTGAGAGATGCTGTTAATAATATAAATCTGAATTTCATTTTGCCAATTATATTAGGTAAAAATCTAAGGCTTAAAGGTCCTACCAATTAAAAGAGAAACCATCTAACAATAATTCTACATATTAAATTACTAAAAATTAGCTAAGTTTAATGATGCATAATCTAAATTAGAAAGGCTTTCTGAGAAAGAATAAATGTAAGCACATGTCAAAAATATTTTACCACAAATATTAAACGATCCAAATAGTAGTTAGATAAGGCAAACATAAATAACTAACCATAATGTTTTTTAAGAACTTTTTTCTCTATCCTTCAAACTTTTTTTGTAAATTTTAAATTCTGATTCATTCATATTATTAAAATTATATAAAATTGCATAATCAACAATAAATTTTGTCAACAAACTACTTTTATTTCTACTGTTATATCAAGTTTTCATTAAAATTTAACTTAACTAATTTTTTTCAATCTATTCTTTCAATCTCACATTTTCATTCCATAACAATTTATTCTACAAAACTTCATGATTCTTTATTCCCTCTTTATTGAATTTCATAATAACCTTAAATATATAAATTTAATATATTTTTAGATCTCTTTATTTTCTCTATCTGTTACGTTTTATCTTTTTTTAAATATTCTTTTAATATTTAAGGATATTAATCACTATTCATGAATTTTTATCTATGAAATATAATAATCTAATAAATTTTCAGATAATTTTAGACAAAATTAATATCTTAAAGGAGTATAGAATAATCACTTTTCTAATTTTATTGACCAGATACTTTTAAATATTGGAAATAAATGTATCAAAATATGATTAAGCTTTAATTTTTTTATATTAGATTTATTAACTACTTAATAATCTTATTATTAATCTCTGAAAATTTTAATGCATATTCAAACATCTTATTATATCTTAAATAATTTGATGAGTTAGTATAATTTGGAATCAACCTTTTTTTTAATCAGAACCATTTTGAGTCTTATAATTTTTGTAATAGTATAATTTTCAATATATAATGTACAAAGAAATAATCTATCTATTGTTTACATTATAGGCAATTCCCTTTATTAGAATTACTTTTTATATTATTCAATCTTTGGTGTGATACCACGCTTATGGCATATTCTTATTAATGATACTTCGTACATAATAAAATTTTACACTAGCTTATTAAATTAATTTTCTTCTTCTATTTCTAAATTTAGAAATATATCTTACATATGCGATATTTTAAAAATATGTATCAAAATATTAATTAAATTGGAGAATAAATTATTTTAAATTTGTTTCACTTTTTAGTAGTAATCTTGTGTTTAGTTAGAATCATAGCATTATTTGTATTTTAAGTTAAGTATACCCCTAAATATATTCCAATACCTATTTATTTGGGCTATACATTTTAATTTTTTCTTTGTTTATTTCTGATGTCTCATCTTAATTTTCTTATTAATACACTTATTATATAAATCATCTCTAAATTCAAGAATTTATATATAAGAAATCAAATAGAATAAATCTTAGGAGAATAATTTTTTTGACATTTATTATAATTGATAAATGAGTTAATTTATTTTTTATTTAAATTATACTATTGAAAAATTTAAGTAAATCTACTTTTTTTAATTGATTACAAAGCATCCTTATTTTGAAATTTTATCATTAAATTAGGATTTTTTTAAGTTTTAGACATTAATAAAAAACCAAAATTTATTTATAATATAATTTAAAATAAAATAAAGAATAGAGTTAATGTTAATGTTAATCAATTTTTATATATCTAAAATTTAATTGAATTTTTATCTTTTGTAATTAAAACTTTGTTATTTTCAAGAGCCTTAAAAATGACAACTGAATCATCAAAATTTTATTTTTTAATTAACTCTCCTTTTTCCCAATCCCATAATGATATACAACCTTTTTTTTAAAAAAGATTATTTTAAGATATTGCTATAAGATTAGAATCAGGAATAAAATCTATGTTGACTAAACTTACAGAAAAGAGATCCAATTATCTGAGAATAATTTGAATTTCAACATTCAGTAATATTAAAGAATTAGAAGCTTTTCTATAAGCAAATAGTAAAGAACTACTTTTAGTATGATAATCTAAATAATTAAAACCATCTTTAAATTGAAATCTTCTCACAATCTACAAACTTTTATAATTCCATAGAATTAATCTTTCATCTGAAGTAGCTACTGCTAAAGAGTTATTTGATTGTGATAATGCCAACGCTTAAATTTCATTTATTTATTATTCTTGTGTCGAAATCTTTTATAATAAAGTAAACTCTTCTAAACTCCATAGACATAAATAATCATAAGAAGCAGTTGATACAAGCAATTTCTCTTATTTTTAAATATGAATTTCATCCACAAAATATAAATGTCCTTTTAATATCTGCAATTTTTTATTAGCATCATTCATGCACATCACAATTATATCTTCTGCTAAACCATAAACAATCAAAAATTATCCTTTTTAAGAAAACTTAATTGATTTTAAATAATCTGTAGGCAATACAAATTGTTACTCTTTTTCAGCTGTAGAAGCTGAATATAAATGAAGGATTGGATTTGATTTTTTCGAATTTTACTATTTTTATGTTCCCATTATAAGGGCAATTTTATTAATGTTTAAATTAACATCACAAATAGCTGAGCCATCAATTGAAGTGTTATGTAATATTTTTAGATTTTAATAGATTTAGTCAAAGACTTCCATAGTAAATAAATATTTTAAAAATTAATTAATTTAATATATAAAATAATAAAAAAGTAAATAAACTTCTATATCAATAAAAAGGAAATGAAGTTAATATAATTAAGAATAGAAGTACCATATTATTAAATTAATCTACTTGAAGAAAATAATATTTTTAAGTATGTTTTTCATAATTTCATTTATTAATGTTGACTAATTATTGTCCTTTAAGTTCATTGTTTTCTTGAACCTTCGGAGGTTTGTTTGATCCGTTTTTTCCTAAATGAAGAAGGTTTCCACCTGCATTAACTATTCCTGAGCCAGCCCACCATATTCCGTATCCAACTGAATTAACTGTACCTGTTACTACGTTTTTAGTTCCACTTGCTATTGTAATTGTACTTAAAAACCTAATTTGTTAATTAGACCGGTGGATTTAGGATTTGGATCTTCATCAAAGTTATTCATTTTTTTTAAGTTTTTTTTATTAATAAATTAAATTAATTAAAATTATTATATCAGGCACTGATTATCTCCTCTAATTGATGCTATATTTATATTTTTCAATACATTAATTTTATTAAGAAATTATCTATCTTATGAACTAGTTGAATCTATAAGTAATTAAATTTCTGAGAATGGATGATCTACATTACTCTATATTAAACAATACTTAACTAATTAATCAATCAAACCAGAGTTTACAGCTATTTAAATACATAATATTATAAACCTTTAAGTATAGCATTCATTAATTATAAACATCTCAACTTTTCCCTTGGATAACTCATATATTCTATTTTGTCTAATTCATTTAAGGCTTCATTGATTCTTATTAATTATTAAGGATTAAATTCTGGAATCTCTAAATATTTGTGTAATTCACTTATGAACTAAGAATTATTTCTATCAATTTTCTTAGATCTGAATTATTCATTTTATTATTTAAACATGTTTTAATATTGTGGCAAAATGTAATGAGAAAGCTTTAAATAAAAGTATTTTTCAATCGATATTTTACAATAAGGCATTATTTAGGTCGTTTCTTATTTACCAAAATTGAAGGACTAAAATAATGTTTCAACAATTTAATTTATAAATGCATTTAATTGTTAAACATTTTATTTTATGTTTGTTTAATCACTAACTAGATTATTTTATAATTTTTGTATATATTCTGCTACTTTTTTTCCTAAACCATAATTTGAAGCACATAACAATTTATGAAACATATAGTAAGCACTTGTTTCTAAATAGTATGGATTCTAATTTACAGGATTTTCTATTTCCTCAGAAACATTTACAATTGCAACAAATTCAGATGCTTCATTCATCATATTTTAATCTTAAGTTTTCTTATTACGCAATTTATCAATTTTAGATAAGAAATAAGTAATTAATTCTGAATTTTCATCATAATGTCCAGTGATCCCTCTTATTGATATTACTCTTACACATTTGACTTAATTTGTATCAATTTATATTTTAACTAAACATATTTACTCAAAAGTATTTTCTTAAATGCAAATCATTCTTTTTAATGTATTCTTTACAACAGCTACATTTTCCTTTATAGCTATGATTTAATTTGAATCTTTCTCCAAAATTTAATATTATCTATTTTGATAATTTGAATTCTTTACTTCTTTTTTGTGCAACTTATAAATAAGTCAAGGATATGACTTGTAGAAACTTAGAATGGTAATTCAATAATCGAGTTTGGTTGATTTATCATTAGTAATTTTATATTTATATAAATTAATCTAAATTCGTAAGTTTATGAAATTTTAAAAGTATAATTCAAAGTTTGAAAGTAATAATCTTAAGGTATTTTATAATATTCATCTTATATAAGAGCTAAATTAGGTTGATAGAGTTTGAATTACATTTTACTCTACAAATTTATTTAATGATTACAACAAAATATATATTTTATGTTAAAATTTATTACCTAAGTTTATAATAATAAAACTCATAAATTAATTGATCAAGATTTAAACATTTATAAAACATATCAACCCTAACATCAAATATTTTAGTAATTTAAAGTAATCTTTTAAAATTCAATGATATTAAGAATTTGATAAAGTTATGAAAAAAATTATTCTTTTTATTAATAAATTTTTGTCAGTTAAAATGTCTAGCACTAAATTAAGAAGATTAAGTTTATTAGAGGGGGAAGGATCAAAATTAAAAAGATTTAATGTCCTCTATCCAAAAACAATAATTTAATAGCACGTTTTAGATATTAAAAGAGAAAAGGAACGTAAAAAATAAAAGAGATTAGAATTACAAGAATAATAGTAAATATTTATGGGTTAAGTAGAAAGAATACAATTTTGTCAACATGTAAAAAGAGCGTTGGTTCATCAATTAAATCTAAATAGAGTTAAAGAAGATTAATAAGTTCAATGAATAATCACTTACTGGCTTTTAAGACTCCAACTTCAAGGTTATCTGATTATAACACTCGTATTTCATCTAGGCTTTCATCAAACTCTCATTATGAAGGAATGAAACAAATATTTCTAAAAACTAATTTCAAGCGACCTAAATATTAGGAATAATAATTGATAATTGTTGATCCTTATATAGAAAATAAAGAAAACTTTTCTAATGTTTACAATCTGAGACCAAATCGAACAATTGATAAATTAGTTACAGACAGAAAAAAAAGTTATAGTACTAATAAGAATTTTCTACTAAAGTCTCCTAAATCACATACAACTTTACTGAGTGTAAGATCTCTAAATTTTTTATGAAGTGCTAGTTCTATATTTGTAAATTATATCTTTAATGATTTTTAAATAAATATATTATTTTCAATTTTTGATAATAAAAAATGTATAGATAATATATCTACATCTTATAGTTTTAGTTAATTGGTAAATTATAAATGAATTTAGTGATGCCAAAATATAATTAAGGCATTTTAAAACAAATAAATGATTTCTTCTTTTCAAAAAAAAATAAGTATGCAAGAATGTAGGGGGAATCATTTAAAATAAATTAGATCTCAAGGAAAAAAGTATTAGAAAAACTTTGAAATTCATTTGGGATATACAGATTTCGGAAATATTTTCTATAAATATATTTAGGTCTTATTTATTAAAAAAATTGAATAATGATTAAAGTAATAAGTATTGAAATATGAATAAAAAATCATAAACTACTCATAAAAATAAAGTCATTTTATTAAATTATAACCTGTCATATTATAGGAATGGAGAATGTTTTAACTTAAAAAAAAAAAAAAATAAACAATAAGGCAGTCTTCGATGATAAAATTAATTAATTTAACGTCAAATTTATTTGTTGATATAAATTATTTTAAATTAATTCATTTTTGGATTATTAACAATTCTTTGGATTTTAGGTATGAGATTAAAATGAGGATGAGTTCATAATATCAATAAAAAAAATGGGATGATTTAAAATTTTTGAATAGTTTCGAAAATCTCATTTTTCATGAAAGTCTAATAATAATTTAAATTAATTTTTTAGAATGGCTTTCAATTTTCATTCTATTCTTATTAAAGTCAAAAAAATTAGAAGTTACAGTAAGAGTGTTTGATTTCTGTTATTAAGGTATAGAATATTACTAAATAATTACATAAAGTATATTTAATTTAATTACCATTCAAGTGCTTCTAGTTGAAGAATACAAATGATAGTAATAAGCAAAATTATTTATGATAATAATTAAATCTCTATGTTTATTACGTTTTTATTTATTAATGTTATTTAAAATTGATTGCATAAATATAAAACAAAGTAAAAAGCTAACGTTGACAAACGAAGCAAAATTTCCTATTTTGGTTAGAATCATAGAAAGCAATTCTTGTAATGCTATTCCTTCCTTTTCATTATTGAAATAAAAAGAAAAAAAGAATTTTCAGATACTACATAAATTAAACTCGAAACCAGACAGCCTTATCAGGATTGATGCAATAGAATTCGATGAAATTAAACTTGATACTTTCGTAATTTGATTATATTCTAATTGTAAGTCTGTTCCACCGTTCTGGAACGAAAGAATTAAAGGTTCCTTAGAGACATAATCTCAATCTCTGGCATTGAATACAAATATATCCGAGTCTAGTTCTTTTGCTTCTTATTGTAGGTCTCCATCCATGAATCAAACCTTTCAGGATCAAAATCAAGTTTAAAATAATACAATTGAAAACTCAATTAACAATTAAGTTTAACAAAATGGGATTGATCAAGATAATTAAAGTGTTTAATAAAATTCTAAGTAACAAATCAACTCTTAATAATCTATATAAGTAATAGGTTCTACAAAATTAGCAGATGAAAACAAATTTTAGCAATCCTATCAATCAAATTTATAAAAATCTATAAGCAATTTCGAATCTTATGGTTATATTTCTACTAATCAAACCTAATAATAAATTCTTAAGATCCCAAAAGATATGAACAACTTCTTAGATTAAATTGACTCTTCAAATAGTCCATTTCAACTCTAAACTACCTCTTAATTGTAATCATAAACTCATTCGCAAATAAACTTTCCTGATAATGTTTAATAAGATATAAGCATCAGTGAAACTACTTCCATTTAAAGATTTGATAATAGAAAATTATCCTACCTACAATAAAGCAGATTATAGTTTAATGAAAAACCAAAATTAAAAATTTCATCAACTTTAATCAATAATTCTAGATCAAATAACAAAATTCAATAAGATTTAATTAAAAACAAGGAACTTGAAATTTAGTTATAAAAATAAATTGTAAATCTTTAATAACTATATAGGCTGAGTTATAATTAAATAAAGAAGCATTATAATAAGAACTTATAAAATTGGAGTTTAAAAAGTTATTCAATTCTAAAAATTTAGATTCTTTTAACCAAAAACACTTTTTTATATAGCATATACTTTTAATAAGTGTTTTTTGTCTTATAATAGGAAGTTTTATGAAATAATATATCCCGTAATTTTGACTCATTTAATATTTGAAAACCATATTCTTGTATATTATAATTATGATCATTCTTGTATTATTTAATTTTAGAATTATAGATATAGATATATAATAATTTAATTAAATTAAATATAATTTCTGGAATAATTTTAAAATACAATTATTTTAGACTTTATAATATTATTTCAGTTCAAGCCTTTTTGCTTTTTTATGTATCAAACTATTTTTTCAGATTGTTATATGATGTAATTATTTATTAAAATGGAACAATAATCCAAACTGGATTCGCAGCAACAAAAAATATCCAAAAATAAAAAATATTTGCAAAAGTAAATGTGAAGCAACCTTATTGACAAACATCTTTAAAATCTCTAGACCATTCATTAGATACAAAGAATATAGTTCCCATTATCTATATAGCTGAAGTCAATCCAATCAAATAATTTGTTAAAATCTCATTTTTTTAATATTTAATTCTTAAAGCAATCCATACACATAAGGGTCCCATAATATAAAATTCAATAGCTGAAATTGTCATCAATGTAGGCTCTTTTAATGGATATCTCAAATCTAATTCACTATATTTTTAGAAGAGCCTTAATAAATAATACAATTATTGATTACCATTAATGTTATTGCCAATATCCGACTGTACCATCCAAATATAAATGAATCCAAATTCCATTAAAAATAAACCAATAATACTAAAAGTTAGGTCCTTTTATTAATAATAATGAAATAAGTATGAATCCCGCTAATATAAGATTATCAGAACAAAATATCATTTAAAAAATATTATTAAAATATTAATACTTATAGATTTCTATTATAGTTGAGTTTAACAAACATTATCCAATAGAATAATTATATTACTATGAAATAATTGATATATCATTTTTTGTGATTTTTAACTTTAATTTCTTCTCTTAATTATTCTATAAGTTTTTCTTCTTCTAATTCATCCTCTTCATCTTCTTTAATTGGTAATTCATCAAACATATCTTCATCATCTTTAATAGAAGATTAATCCATTGAATGATTAGTATGAGATTATGTAAGTTATTTTTTTGGTTTTACTCTTACATTTCTTTTCAAAAACTCTTAATCATTAATATCAGAAACTGCATTAACAATTGATTTATTTAATAATTCTTATTATTGCTAAAATAAAATAGAAAATAAATACTGTCACAGATAAATTAAGTAGTTTTTCTTTAACAACATCTATAATGGCTTAAAATCCTTAATTTTTTTATAATCCTAATTTTTTTAATCCTCTTGACATCCAATTTCTAAGTTTATTCTCTAATAATCCAGCTATTGTAGCTTTCTCTTCAACTTCTTAAACTAATTTATCTTATTCAAATTAATCTTCTTTTTATCTATATGTTTCAACTTAAAATTCTTTATCCATATCAGTATATTATTATTTTAAATTAGAAAATGAAGTTAAGAGTTCTTAATTTTCACTTTTCAATGCATTAATCTTTTTTTCATAATCTGATATTGAAATTAAAAGATGTGCATAAGTTTATTCTCTTCCTAAAAACTTTTAAACAATATCATTAGCATCTGTAATACCTGTTGATGCTTTAATCTTTTAAAATGTCATTTCTAAATCTTAATATTAAGCAATTCCTCTTTACATTTTGTTTTTTAGAAATGAATTTAGAAATTTATGAACTAAAAGTAATTTTCTCCATTTTTTCAATGCACTGTCTTTTATATCTTTTGCTGCTACTTCAGCAATTTCTTATTATCTTTTTATTCTATCATCTCTCTTCTATTCTATATCTTATCTTTATCTTAAATCATCTTTAAATCTTTATAAATTCTTTTCTCTATTCTTATTTTGTTATTGAATGCCTTCTGTAACTTCTTTTAAAGCCATTAAAGTTTTACTATATACTTCTTAAATTTATTAAGTTCTGAATATATAGATGATTATTTTACTTATATGTGCTACTATGAAATTATTGAAGAGCTAATTAAAGATGTCTTTCATATTAGTTTGCTCTAAGTTAGTAGACCAATTGATCTTTCTTCATTCTATTTAACATATGTTCAAAGATTTTCCTATCATATTAACTTTCACTTAAAAGTTTATGTTAGTCTTCCAATTTTTACTGCAATTCTTTCTCTTTCACTTATAAATTATTTTAAGTTTAGTTATATTGGTCTACTTAAATTGTCATTTAATCAATCTCCTTTCTCATATTTTCTATATCTTTTTCCTTTTTAATCCCATTAATTTTCATTGAATCACAACTTTTTTTTAAATCTGTCAGATTAACATGAACTTCATGTGCTTCATTTACTTTCTACCATAACTAATTATAAAACCTTCTAATCTTCTATTTATTTTGGATAATAATCATCATCAAAACCTAAAACTGATTATAGATCATTTTTTTTTATTAGTTTATCAACAGACTTAATCACAGCTAACTTTCGATATTTATCGTAATCATTCTTTTTACTTTGTCTCGTGCTTGATTTATTTGAATATAAACGTATCTAGTATTTTATATTTTAATATTTACATCTGGAAGTTCCACTGCAGACATTCTACTATATCAAATTTCAATAAATATTATTTATTCTAATTAAAAATAAATCATATATATTTTAATCATATCTTACTATTTATTATGCTCATAAATTTAATATGTATCCTATTTTCATAGAAAATTCAATCTTTCAAAGAATTAATATATATAATTATTATTATAGTTTATTATTCTAAATTAAATGGATTAGATTGATATAAATTAGGATTCTCCTAGATTAAATGAGGCATTAAGATAAATAAATTGGAATATCGATGATTTAAAATAAATATCAATAGACTAAATGAGAACAGAACCTAGATTCTCATTATATGATAATAATATTTTAAATTATCTATGGATTTAATATGAAGAATCTCGTAAACTTAAGTTATAGATAATTTAAATAATGAAAAATAAAATTATTGAAAATGAAGAGCATGTTTCAAAAATAAGATTATTATAAGAATAGCCAATATAAAATATTGAATTGAATAATCTAATTAAAAAACAATAATAATATCATATTGATATGTAATTTGAATATGATGTTTAAATCACTTAATATACTAAAGAATTAAAGGCAAAAGAAGTTTAATTAAAAGAATTTGAGTATAATTCATAGAAAGAAGCAGTTGAAAAATAAAATTAATATCAATTATAATAAGAGTAACTAAAATTTCATGCTGAATTTTAAGAATTTTTAAAAATATAAAAATCAAAAGAAGATGAATATGAAAAAAAGTAGAAAGAAGGTTAATTTATAACAGAGGAATAATATAAATAAAAGGTTAAAGAGTTTGATAGATTAAAATTATTAAAGGAATAATAAAAATAAAAAATTAAAGAAGAAAGAGAAAAATAATTATAAGATAGAATGTAAATGATGGAAAAATATTATGAATCAAAAATAATTAAAATGATTGAAAAAGAAAAAAAAAGACAAAAATTAATGGAGTAAGAAAGAAAATTTAGAGATGAATAAAAAAAAGAAAAATAGGAAAAACTTTAATAAAGAATAGATGATAATAAAAAAAGATTGACTAAAAATTTAAATGAAGAATAAAAAAATAATGAAAGAAAATAAATTGAAGCTAATTCAAGATTAGAGGCTATGAAACGAGAGATAGAATTTATTAATTTATAAAAGAAAACTAAATTCGAAAAAAAATTAAAATTAAAAGAAATTTATAAAAAACAATAAGAAAAGATTGAAGAAGAGAAAAGATAAAAATTAATTGAAAAATTTAAAGAAATTGATGAAAAGTTAGAATTAAATTAATTATATAAATAAATGAATCTTTAAGATTAATAAAAATTAAGAGAAGAAAATGAAATTTTAAGAATGAAAATTTTAAGAGAAAATGATGAAAGACTTATAGAGAAAACTATAAAAATATAGTTGAGAATGAAAGCTAAAATAGAAAAAGCTTAATAAATTTAGCACTAAAATTAAATAGAAATAAAAGAAAAATAATTTGAAAATATGATAAGAAAAATAGATTAAGAAGAAGATTATATTATTTAATAAAGAAAGAGATAGATTGAAAAAGAATTTGTTATGAAAAAAATTTAATAAAAAAAATAAAAAATTGATCAATTAATTAAATAGAAATAATAAGTAGATTAGAATATTATAAAAAATAGGTAAAAAAGTATAATGAAAAAGGAAGAATTAAAAATTAAATTTTAAGAAGAGATGAGAAAGGAGTTTAAAAAAAATTAATTGAAAAAATAGAATGTGGTATAAGTACCTCCATTAAACATCTAAAATAAAGAAGAATAAATTAATGATAAAAAAGTTAATTTAAACTTTGAAATAATTTAGGTAAGTCTTATTATATTAATCAAAGCTATTAGATGAAGAGTTTTAGAGAGAATAATAGAGATTACAAATTATAAAAGATGTTACTGAAAATGAATAACGTAATAAACTTTTGTAGGATTTTTAAATTGAAAAAGAAAAATTTGATATTTTAATAGAAATGAAAAGAAAATAGTATTATGAGTTGCAACAGTAACAAAATTAATGAAATTAAAATATGTTTTATATATAATTTTTTGTAGATTCCGTTCTTCTAGAATACTTTTCTTAACATGATTATTCATAGAAATAATTAAATAAAAAAAAGTTACTCATTGAAAAACTATATAAATCAAATTTTGTATAACAAATTAATAAAATAAAATTTTATTTTATGAAAATGAATTCTAAACTTATTAATTATCAATTAAACTTTATTTTATAAAAGAATTTCATTAGTTTTTGGGTTTTTTGTGAGTTTTTTTTGAAATATTCATTAATAAATATTATCATTTTTTATAAATTTTTAACACTAAATAAATTAAATAAAATGTAAGAACGACTTAAAGAAGAACTACTCTCACCTTAATTTAAAGAATTAGAACAAGAGCTTTCTACTTAAGAATGCCGAAAATTTTCAAGTATATCTGCTGTTGAATTCAACACTCCTGAAACAAAATATAGATCAACTATAGGTCCCAATAAAATGGATATGTCTAAGGAGGCAAATTAATTGCATTTTAGGAATAGAACAGCCAAATTTGAAGATGAATAAAATCAACTCTATATAGAAATTAAAAATTTATATGAAAAGAGATAGTTCGATGTACCAACTCTTATGGAACCAAAAATCTTATTTAAGACATAAACTGTTCCAACTAAATTTATGTATATTGTTATTATCATAGAAATTTATTCATAGCATCAAGAGAAGATAAAATCAAGTTCAATCATAATCACAATTTAATGATTAGGTGTTGATCGACAAAATGCACATAGCTAATTAATAAAGTCTAAAGAATTTATTATCTTATGAATTTTGATATTAATTTAGATATATAATAAAACTTTATTGATCATAATAAATTTTATTATTTCTATATCATAATAGGTATTTTTATATTATTACTAAAAATATTTATTTACTATTATTCTTAATTTAGAGAGAAAAATACTGTCTATCTGAAATTATATGTTTCAATATCTTTAAAAGATTTCTAAGAGGTTATAAATTAAATTTATCTAACAAGAACATTTTTGCTATTTAGTAAAATAGTTACTGTCAGCTTTAAATATATTTAACCATTTTTAATAATAATAAAATATTAATAATCAATTTAAAAAATACTGTTTATTAATTTTAGCATTATAGTGATTGTAAGGAATTTTTATTATGGTGTTACCTTAGAATTTATATAGAGTGTATTCATTTGAATTTATTATTTAGTGTTGCCTTATTTATCAAAGAATTTATTCTATTAATACTTGAATGTTAATAATTAACCATTATTTAAGGAATGTCTAAAGGAATAGAAAAAAGTAAGATTATTTTATGATTTAATAGTAATAGTTTTTGAATTCTTTTTGTTAGTATTTTATATTTAATTTTTAAATTATTAAAATCAAAAAGGACAAAAGTTTATTGAATACTAAAAAAAATATAAACTTAATTTTAATAGATTCTTCTTTAGATTAAATTAACTTATGTTTATGCTAATTTATTATCAGTTAATTAATTTATACCCAAGTTTTTATAAAATTGAAGAAGATTCATAATAGCCAAATAATCTAGTTAAAAAATTAAAGAAATAATTTATTTTCACTTAAGAGAAAGATGCATAAAATCAGCAAAATGGATCATATTAAAATATATTGATCCAAATAAATTATTTGGATTAAAAATTTATTAAATGGAAATAAAAAAATTGAATAAAGATATTTTTAGAAACAGATAATCAAATTGAGATTTATTTAGATAATAAAATAATTAAGAAATGATTTGATTTTATATAAAATAAAACTTTACTCCTAAATTTATAAAATATTAAAAACTATGAAAAAAGTGATAAATTTTTTTAACTTAAGAGTATTTTAATGAAATAGAATATTTTATTCATAATTTATCTTTGTAAAACCTCTTAGGTATACCTTTTTCTGGATTAATCTTAATTATATAAAATTGATTTACTTTATAATATAATTTTTTGCAAAATTCTTCAAGTTATGAGAAAGGAATAGATATAGCACCAAGTCCCATATAAGCAGCTACATTATTTAAAGCACTTGCAGGTAATGCTGTTAATTATAGTAATGATGATGTAATCCCACAAGTAAAACCATAACTTCCCTCAATCAAACCATATAACTTATATAAATTGAATAAATATTACAAAACCATTGTTTGAGATAAAAGGTTTACTAAATATATCAATGATGCCATTTGTAAAGGAACTAGCCGCTTTTGTTATATCAAGTGAACTATAAGCTTAAAATAATATCCTAAAAGTTGATAGTTGTTAACTGATTAAAAATTATATAAAATCTTATTTTGATGTTTGATTAAACTAATAAAAATATAAAACCTAATTTGTAGCTAAAATTAAATTATTAAAGGATCCAAATTTTAATACTTGAGTTTTCAGTCCCTCTACTTCCAAACCTTCTGAATCAAATGAAACTATAAATTATATTGGAAACAACTCCACTTATAAATTAAAAGCTTCTTTTTATTTTATTATTTCAAATGATTCGTCATCATCATCATTACTAAAGTTTGAAGCTGCTTCTTTACATTATACTTAAAATGATTTTAATAATTCTTAAAATTGATTTCCAGATAGACAAATTCTTAAAGGTTTTAATTTTACATTTAACGCAAGACTATTTTAATCAAACTAAATTATCAAATCTAAAAATAAGCTTTCCTTTATTAAAGCACTTGATATTTCTTCAAATTCATTAAAATCTTCCTCATCAAGTATATATTTAAATTTACTCTATTAAAGTTAATCCAAAATATATGCTCTACTTATTTTTAATTGACAACATTTATCTCCTAAATATAATTATGTATAATAGACGTTTACTTCAAAATTATGAGATTAGTTTGTTATAGATAAATAATCACATTATATTTCAAAATTTTTTGATTTCATTTCTATTTTATCTAATTTTTAATATTCTTTTTTCTCTATAACCTTTTTTTTAACAAAATCCTTATCTATATGTTCATAATGATCTATTAAATCAATAATTATCTGTTTAGAAATATCGAAAATTTAAATAGAATCTATTTTTAATAATTTTTTTCTTTATAATTCAATTTTTTAAATTTATCCTATTTTTTTAAATTTATCTAAACTTATTAATTAATCATTTCTATCACTAGTATTCTCATTTTAAAAATAAACCTAAACTTCTTCAATTTAAATTAAATCCTCTTTGATAAGCATATTATTAATTATCAAAATTGATCTTGTCCAAGATGGATATTGTACTTTTGTATAATTTAATTTAGCTTAACCTTTTTTTTATAGAATTATTTCCTCATTATAAAAAGGTAATATATCAATCATTATTTATTTAAATAAGACAATCACTTCTGATTTCTTATTTTATAGATTATCCTATTATTAAGGTTTATTTATATATTATATTGAATTAATGAATTTTTAAATACAAAAGTTCAATTTATCAAAATTAAAATTTGTTAAATTAAATTTAAGAGCTGAAAATTCAAGATTCAAATTATTTTATTTCATAATTAGAGTGAATATCCACTTATCTTATGCCTAATTCATCAATAAAATTTATGAATTATCTTTATAAAAAACATTTAAATCTTCTAGCAATACAAATTAATAATCGATAGTAAAATAATATTTGAATTGGTTTAAACATAGATAAATAGTTTAATATAAATTTACTTCTATGATTTTTATTTTAGTGCAAAAGTAAATATTTTATTGCTTTTTTTAATTAGGTTATATTCCTTTTGAATTACCATTAAAAACTTAGTTTAGATCAGAAATCATTTTATAAAAATTATCAAAGTAATTAGGATTTAATATAACACCATCTATTTACAACTCTAAATGCTATTCTTGTTTCGATTTACATTCTTTTAAATATTAAATTATTGATGTTTTATTTTATCCATCAAATTATATTTATTTAGATATTTAAGGTTTAAGTTGTGAGCCAAAATAACCATTAAGATTGTTTATTTATAATTATTTATCTAGCCCATAAATATTTTCACATCCAAATTTGATTTAATTTTTATATTAATAAGTTTAATTTTCCAATTAATCGTTTATATCTGAAGTTTTAAGAAAAAAGTCATAAATATTTAATTAAATATAATCATCTTCTACTATTTGAGTACTTAAACTCATTGTAGGTTACAAATTGTTAATTCGATAAAATATAGAAAAATTTGTTTTCGATATTTGAAATTATGTTTAGGATATTTATTAATTGTTTTAATTAACTGAGTTTTGTGTATAAATATTAAGAATTTTCATCATAAACTCAAGCTAATTTTAATCTAGGATTAAATTAAAAGGTGTTAAGTCCATTCTAATTTGGCTATCTATTATTTCTAATTTTATAGGACTAATAAATTATGTTGAAGAAAAAGAAGCAAATATTATTGGTTCTTATGTTTAAATTTCATAACTTTCCTTACTTAAATCCTTCTAAGTATACTAATCTTTTCCTGATTTCATTATTATTTTACAAAAGAATTTTTAATAATTAATCATATCGAATTCTTAATCTTGTTTTTCCTTACAATCTTCTAAACTTTTAAATAATTATTCCAATTAATATAACTAATAAATTAACACTGAGCCAATAAAAATGTTTAGTTTGTTATGTTTTATTACATTTATATCACATATAGAAATTGAGAAATAGTTTTCTAGGTCAATTTTAAAATTTCTTTCTTTTAAATTAAATTATTTCTCAACTTCAACATTAGTAATATATAGAGTTAGACCATAAAAATTACAATTCAAAAATTCTTTTTATTCATTCAAATATTTAACAGAAGTATAGAAATCTTAGATTTTATTATTTGGAATATCTTCTACAATTATGGTGCTCTCAAAAATTTCTTCTTGATTTTAATTTTTATTAATTAAATTTTACTTAAAGTATTCTTCTAATTTATATTTGTTTAAATTTATTATCTTCCTTTCTGCTAATTATTATTTATTTGAATTTTTAATTTATTAAAAATTGCTACTTATTCTTAATGCTTCTTAAATAGTTTTATCTCTTTATTCTAAAACTTAAGCACTTTATGCAAATAATTATGAAATTTGATCCAATTGATTTAGAGATACAATTATTTGTAGTTGTTCTGCTTAAATTTTAATTTTTGGTTCTGTATCCTATGTTAAATAAGCATTTAATTTTATAGCATTATCCATTTATCCTATCTATTTATCATTTAGAAATAGCTTAAATTAATCTATTATGGCTAAAAATAGTATTTAATTGCTTATTTAAGACTTTTGCATTGTACAATTAATTTTATTTATTACAAATGATAAACTTGATATATTCTTTGATTTTAATTTTCCTGTAAATTTAATTCTTAAATTTTTAATATCTACTTTAACATTTCCAAAAATGCTATCAATAAATCTTAAGAACATAACTGTTTTTGATGAAGTTTTAGTTTATTCGCTTGATTGAGTTGGAGGTTTAGTTTCATTTTAAAATTAAGAATCACTATCTTAATTCTAAAATATATAAAAATATTTATACTAATATTTCCTTTTTTAATTCTTCAATCTACATATAAACACTTTTGTTCACTAAATCTTCAACTTCTAAAGATTCTAAGACTTCTTCTTATTTAACTTAAGTGTTTAAATCTAATATTAAATCTACATCATTCAATTATAATTGTAATTTTTCAAGTTTTATAAATTCTATCATTAAATAAGATTTTACTAATAGATATTTCTTAGAGTGTATTTGTTTTCATTATTCCATTTAAATATTTAGTGTTTAATTTAATATCTGAAATTCCTTTATTTAAATCTATTATTGCTATTTTCTGCTCGAATAAATTTTCAAAATTATAGTCAATAATAGGCTGTAATGTTTTTTCAATTATTTTTGATTTTGCTTTAGAAAAAAGTCCTCCAAAAAAGGAAAACATAGGTTCAAACATTAAATGAATAAAAATTTTTAATAATATAAATTTCTTGTACTATAAAAAATTTATTCACTTATTTAGTTGGATAAGTTTAGCTTCTATATTTTCTATATTTTGAAATATGATAAATTTATTTCAATTTTATATTATTAAAGCGAAACTATGCTCTTAAATTAATATATAAAATAGAATTAAGATTATGTAATAAATAAATTGAATATTAATACATACAAAATTTGAAATAAAGGGAAAAAAAGTTTTAAAATAGGAACTTTGAACTTAATTGACTTAAATTAAATAAATTAATAAATTTAATATAATTAGGTATTACTTTAAAAGTAAAAAAAAGAATGATTCATAAAATTAATAATTTTGATAAATGAGAGTGATGAAGAATAATTATTTATTTATTACAGACTAATAAAGGATTTGGAGAATATCTTCATTAGATTGTTAGGAGAATTAACTCATAAAGATTCAACAAGGCAATACTGAATTATCTTGGAAGAGGTTCAATATTTTGTTATAGTGCGGTTTCTCGAATTTATTAATCTGAGTTTAAATTATCAAGGAAAAAATTTTCAGATTAATTTAATTTAAATTTGTATATCTATAATAAAATAATTTAAGAAGTATTTAAATTGAAAAAGAAATGAAAACCAAAAATAGTATGATTGATTATCACTTAAATATAATTATATAAGTATCGAATTATAAAAATATTTAATTTTATATCATTTTACTTTTCTTCTCCTATAAAATAAAACATAAGCTGCATCAGTTACTGGATTAGATCTTAATTCCTTGACTTATGAATCATTAAAATCAAACCAAGCATTATACATAGGATTCTTTGCATAGGCTGTATAATGTCCTCCGCCCATTCCTCCATAGTGATTTGATACTGCAAATAAGTCATATACATAAGGTTATTATGATTCCTTTATTTTTAATTAAAAAAAATACTTTTTCTAAAATGAATGGTTAAATGTTAAAATTTTCAACAGGAAAATCTACATGTTAGACAATTTTGGAGACTCCTCCAACTGAATAAGTTCCATAAAATTAAGTTACTCTTGTTGATCGAAATCTTTTTAAATGCAGTATCATAATTTAAGGTGCCTATTTAAATTTATTATATCATACTTTATATATTTGCATTTATTTCTTTGCTTTTTAATGTTTTTTACATTTAGAACAATACCATTCATTTCCTGCTCCTAAGACTTCCTCTTAACAAAATTGACTTAAACAATCATTTAATGTAATTGCTTATTATAAACTTTAATTAGGAACTTAGAGTGTAAATTCTGCATCAACACATTTATTTAATTTCAAAAGTTCAGCTCGCAATTTAAATTAAACATTTAAAATTATAGATTTTCCAGTTATATCTATTTATTTATCTGTAAAAGGTAAAGGTTTATTACTATCATCTTGTAGTTAATAAATATTTTCTTTTAATTTTAATAATTCTTGATATTCTTCAATTTAATCTTTATATATGAATTTTTTTATATTTTTTAAGAATTATTCAAAATCTTTATTTAGATTAAAATTCAAAGTCAAATCACCCACTTGAATTATATGAGTTCTAAAAATTTAATATATTATTAGATGAAGTTCCTAATAAGTTGTGTGACTATCAACATAACAAATTCTTGTAAAAGATATTCTGTAATTTTATTGATTTAATCTATTCTCTTCTAATTTTCTTACATTACAAAGAACTTAATAAAATGGGGATTTAATTTTAGGATCATATTTAGATATAGGTTTATCTATTTTTTCATCAAATTCTTCATACAAAAATGTAGTAGCTTAAGACTCTTTGATTTACTTTATCGTTTAGTCTGATGATATACCATTATCAATTATGGCTGAATCTTGTAAAGAATAAAATTTAAGATATTCGGATTTAATATTTTTTATCTTTGAAATTATTTCTATGATTTCTCCTGCTGTTTAAGTTGATTGCAAAGTTTATTAAATTTTCAATGGTGTCTAATTAGAATCTCTAAATATTAAATAAAATTAAAATTAAATATATTCTTTACTAGGAATAGGTAATGAAATTGTAACAAAAGGATCAAAAGTTATTGATACAAAGCTACATTCAGGACATTCTACCCTTGATTTAAATTATCCAGTAAAGAGGTCTATAATTTTGGAATCATTTCTTTTTTTATGATTTTCCCAATAAATATCAGCAAATTCTTAATCACTTTAACCTTTGTATTCTACATCTGGAATATATGGTTTTTTTTTAATTCGATTCAAATCTTCATGCAAACCATCTAATAAATATGAGAGTAATTCTTAAGAATCTTATTAACTATAACCATTAAATTATGGCGCTTATTATCCAATAATTTTTTTAACATTCCAAGGTGCCACACTTGTTGATGTAGATTCATATAGTTCTTTTAATAATTCAGCATAATTGCAAGCTAATCTCCCTCCTGTTCCTAATGGATTTTTTTCATTCAAATCTTAGAGATAAGTATTGTATATCATATATTCAGTTAATTCAGTAACATTACTTAAACATTATAAACTTGAATTCATAAAACAAGTGTTTCCTAAATTAGTTAATCCACATATTCCTTTAGCAGAATTTTTAACAATTTTAGCTGGAGGTCTCACTCTATGTTTTTTAGCCAATTAATTTATTAAAGAATCTTTTTCCATAATTTCTAATATTTATATAAAAGTATTACTTTTACAAGCTTCTTAATGATTCTTCAAATCATTAACTTAACAAGTTTCATTACAATATTTAACACTTCTACATTCACATAAATAGAGTTAAGATTCTTAACTACCACAACTCATACATTTATTTGGAATTAATATTGTTTACAAATTTTCTTTTTTTTCCAATCTATATTAATCTTATTCAAATTCTAATAACAATATTTCTTCAGGTCCTATTTCAGCTTACTTATATAATATCTAAAAATACTTCTAAAATATTATCTCTACTTAATTTTGTACCAACTACAGATTAATTTTTCATTAATTCATCCTAATTAATTTCTTTTGATATTTTCCAAATATTCCTTATTTTTTAATTAGTTATCCTATTTACTTTATTTATTAGATCTTCCAATCTTTCATTTCCATTAAATTATAAATTTATAATTCTTTATTATTGTTGTGGAAATAATTAACATTTAACTTAAAATAAATGAGTTTCAACTGCATGTCTACTTCTACATAAAATTATTCTTTTTATTTCAATACCACCAAATAAACCATAGAAAAATCTCCAAATTTAACTGCTGACAAATATAAAATTTTAATTTTCTCTAATAGATTTATTCAATGCATAATTTGAATAATTTTTTGCTTTCAATGGATCCCTCTCAAATTATGTGTATAAATCAATTAAATCATCATTGAATATTGGACAGATTTATATTTCACCAGAATTTTAAGTTTAATTTGATATTCTTTCTAATTCTTCATATGTTTAATGATTGCAATATTATTTAAAAATTTCTACAAAGGTTTCATCTTCCATTGAATTCTTTTAAATAATATTATTAAAATATACATTCTTTTTAGCGATGAACTATTTTAATTAATCTGGATTTTCTCTTGTTAATTCATAATATTTTGTAAATAAACTAAAACGAGCAATCCATTAAGAATTTATTAAATAAGCTGGATAACCTTCTTATTCAAAATATCTATCCTACTCTTATTTTAGTAATAATGATTATAATTTTTTAGCTAAAGCTGCTTTTTCTTGATCATTATACATTTAAAATATTCTCTATTTATTATCAACATAATCTTGTAAATAAGATTTTTTCTATTCTAAAATAATTTCTAATTAAGCCCATGTTTTTCTGTTTTTGCTATTTTATATTTATTTTTAAACAGTTTCTATTTTAAGTATGCATTCTTATAACTGATTCAATTTCTATAAAGATTGTATTGATATCCATTCTAATTCTAATTTTCGCCATTCTACTTAATCGAATTCTTAAGAATCTTATGATGGAATCTCTTGGGAACATCCAAAGTAAGAAATGAGATGACTTAAATTAAAATCATTTAATTTATAGCTGCATAATGCTAATAATAATAATGCTAATGAACTGATATCTAATAAATATATGAATAGTAATATACTGTCAGTCTTTTTTTCTTAAACACTATGTAAACTTAATTGTGTCCTTAGAGATTATTTCAATTATTAACAGACCTCTACTAGATTCTTAATTTAATTTAGTTTGTACTTGTTTACCCTCCAATCTTTCATATGCTCTCTTTATTACTCTTTCATTACAATTATTGATGGAATCCAATAAGTATTAAGGACATATCATTCTGATAATAAATTAAAGAATATATATATATATATATAAATATATATTTATCATGTAAAATACTTTAATCTCTCTTTCTCTTCCTCACTAATTTCTGTTACAATTTATTCTTCTTTTTCTTCTTTTGGTGGCCATGATCTTATCATAATTGGTCTTCCATTTCTTTTTTAAATAACAATTTCTTTTTATTATTCTTATTATTTTTTCTGCATTTCAATTAAATCTTATTCTTATTTTTCTTATTTCATTTTATCCTTCTTCAATCTTATACATCCTTTTTCCTTTTCTAATACCAAGTCTGGTGCTATCTATCTATATCTTTTTATTTCTAAAATATATTATTCTAACTTTCTTTCTGTTTCTCTTAACATTTCTAATCCTGACATATCTTTTCTTGGTTCTGGATTTAGATCTGTTTTATACATTCGAGAAATCATTTATTCTAAATTACGAAGAGATTCAAATCCCTCATTATCACTCTTTATACTTTTTAAAGTTTTTATTTAATCATTTACTGTAATTATCTATTTCTCTAATTCTAATTTATTTTAAATAGCATTTTATTTCTTATCTTCTAATTATTTTTTTTTTAAGTCTACCTTTGATCTCAATTCTTCAACCATTTACTCTCTTTCTTTTGTATTTGCTATTAGAAATAGATTTCTTTCTTCCAATTATTAGAATATATCAAATAATTAATTTGGATCTTTAAAATATGAATCAAATTCATCATCAGAATCATCCAATATTTTTTATAAATCAGAACTTATTTTATTTTCTTAAAGATTATTTTTATTTTTATTCTTGTTTTATTTTTTACTAATTTATTTTTTAAATTCTTTTGGAGTTATTCTGTCTAAAAAATTCTTGTATTTTATTATGTCTTCTAAATTATCAACTTTTTATTAATTTTTAGTCATTAATTCTGTTCTATGTTCTTATAAAACTTTAATCTCATTAGTTTTTTCTTATTTTAATCTAGTTTCATTTTCTGCTTCTTTAATTGCATCTCTTGAACTATTATTATTAGCTTCTAAAAATTTATTGAACATTTCAATATCATCATCAATTAATTGCTCACTTTATTCTAAACCTTTTCTATGAAATCTAGCTTACTTTTCATATTCATCAATCATTTCTCTTTTTTAATCGATTAGCATCGAAAATAATAACATTTCTTTTTTTTTCTCTAAAAATTAATGCATAGGTTCTCTTAATCTAACTCTATTTTTTAATGCACTATTAGCAGCTTCTACTATATTACTTAAAATCATATATAATTAATACATCTTATCTTATTCTTCTCTATCAAAAGATGTTTCTTCACTTCCCAAACGGTCAATAGTTCTTACAGTGAAAAAACCTTTTTATTTTTTACTCTTATCTTCAATCTTCAATTTTGAAAACTTTATTCTTTCTTCAGATCTTGCTAATTTTGATTTCTCTTTCAATTTGAATATCTCATATTCATCTGGTACATAGAATGGGTTATCACCATATTGAAATGACCTATCTTATATTTTTGGTAATTGAGGCAGCATAATAATTAATTTTGTTATTTCATTTTTAGAAAACAAATCAATATTAGTTCTTTTGGTAAATTATACTTACAATATTTTTGATAAGTTATATTTGTAGAGTTTAATTTCTTACTATTGTTAAAAAGCAATAAAACTTTCTGATTTAGTTATTTATTAATCATTAATACTTACAGAAAAAAAATATTATAATAGTCTGATATATATTCATATATTCTTTTTTATCTATTCATCAGAATGATAAATTCTTCTATGAGTTTTGATACTTCTAACTTATTCAATACAACAATCTTCAGGAACAGCTAAATAATCAGGATCTGCAGCAGATAGTAAATTCTTTCTTGTTTATTGGAGTAATTATTAGGAAGATTTCGATTTCAGTAAGGTTTTTTATTTTTGCTCTTAAATATATCCCACTATAAATTTAGAAATTTTAAATAGCATCAAAGGTTAATGCTTATGAATTTTAGGATTGAAAATTATTTTAGAAATGTCTGTATTTGCGTATTAAGAAATTTCTTCTAGTCCTCCAGGATGAATATAAGCAAATTCTGAGAGATCATAAATAGTATTTTTAAAAATATACAGTAACAAGTGATTTTATCTAGCATAAGTTTGGACAGTTGAAATATTATCAAAATAGATTGGTGTTTTTAATGGATTAAATTACATTATTTATAATATGTAACAAATCAAAAAAATTGATTTAGTCAGAAACTCAAGCAAAAACAAAAGTTTTTAGGAAATTTATGATTTTAACAAAAGTTATGTAGGATCCTAAGTTTATGTAGAAATTGGTTTAAGGTTCATATGAGATGGATTACAAGACAGTGCATAGAGAAACTGGTTTAAGCAGAGCAGTAAAGATAATTCACAAGGCAAGTGTAAATTATAAAGAAAGATTGAATAATGAACTTAGAACTGTAGTATTATTGGTATTCTGGAAACTTAGTTTATTTAAGGATCATAAAGATATTATAAAGGTTTTTGAGACTTATGAAGATACAGATTATATCATTGAGTTAATGGAGTAAATAATAAATTATAAATTAAGATATGTAAGGAGGCGATACCTTGATAAAGTATTAGAATATGGTAATTTTTATAATAAAGAGGTTTAACTATATTCATAGAAATTATTAGATCTGTTGATGACTAAATCATTGAATATGGTTCATAGAGATTTGAAACCAGAGAATGTTTTATTTTAGAAATATAACAATTTGGATTCTCTTTATATTATTGATTTTGGTTTATCTAAAGTATTTTAACCTGGTCTTTTGCATTAATGAACTAAAGCAGGCACAGTAATTTATAATTTATGATATAAAGGCTTATTATGTAGTATCTGAATAATTTTAAGGTATTGATTATAAATTAATTAAGATTTCTATAAGTTTATTTTAATTATTTAAACTGAATTTTTGTTTATTATTGTTTTTCATCTAAAAATATCGTCTTTGATAAATTATTTTGTATCTATGATAACAGAAGTAATATAAATGGTTTATTGGAGTCATTATAAATATATTATTATGTGGATATCCACCTTTTTATGGAGAAAATAAACAAGAAATTTTATAGTCTAAAACGATTGATTTGCCAAATCTTGTAACCCAAAATAAAAAGAATAGATCTAAAAACCATAATGACACACCCTAGGGTATAAAAATAAATCCAAAATGGACTTACCTAAACTCATATTAATAGATGGAAACAATACCTTTAAATTAAATAAATAGGATTATTATTATATTTAGTAACTCAATTAGATTAAAGTGAAATTTTAGGAATTAAGTATGGTTTCTTTATACAAATAAAAATTAATCTGGCAAATTAAGCAAAGAAGAGATAAATTTTACGTCTGATGAATTTCAATGCTTGGAAAATTATTTTCATAATAAGAGTTTAATTTAAAATTTATTTCACTTTTTTTTTGAACCAGCCATATATAAGAGTGAAAAGTACTAAAAATATATGTTCTTGTATATATCAATAGATTGTCAAATAACAATAATAAGTCTATGAGGGTTCAAATATATATTGAATGTGATTTGGATTATTTATAATTTGTTAATTTATTTTGATTATGATAAAAAAGGTTAAATTTTGTAAAAAATAATTTATATATATATAGAGAATTGATTAAATGTAGAGAACATAATCAAATGTTTCAATTTTAAATGCTTGGTTTAATTTGGAGAAGGCATTGATAGATGCTTAAGTAGGAGAGAATGAACAGGTTACAATAATTTCAAGGCCCCCAACATCAAAGATGATGAGAGATTATTCAAATTATCACTCAGTATGAGAATGGTTTGAACTTTAGCAATAAAGAGCTTAATCTTTAAGACCTTTGACAGGTTTGACAAGACCTTCAACTGCAATAACAATGAAGAAGCCATTAGAGTGTTAAGATAAAACAGCAACAATTTAATAATCTTAAAGAAAAATGTTTAGAAAAAAAGTGAACCTACGGCCTTATAAAAAGTATGGTTTTGATAATATTCATGTTTAAAAGTAATATTGAGACATATTATAGAGAAGAAAAGGAAGATGAGATGTCAGAAGAAGAACTAAATTAGTCAACAGTTATACATACTCTAGAAGTGGATTAAATAATAGATTTATATCATAGTAAATGTAAAGATAGAGATCTTGAATATTAACCAGAACATGCAGTTCTTTTTATAGAGAAGTTTAAGAAATTGTGTATAGAAGAACAATTCATTTGTGAAGATAATTAATTAGGTTTAGAGAGTTCTAAAACAATCAGAGAAATGTTATTATATAATAATCATTTCTCTAATTTAAGATTAGCAAGAAATTCGATAGGAGATGAAGGTTTGATGGAATTGATGGAGTTATTAAAAGAGAATAGAAATATAGTTCATTTAGATTTATCAAGTAATAATATTACAGCAGATGGGGCATTTTATTTATTTAATGAATTAGTTCCATTACATTAAGTGATATCTATAGAATTATCAAGTAAAGATGGTTTAAACAGAAACAAAGTCTCTGTTAAAGGATGTGAACCTATAGAAGTCATTTTAAAATACAATCATCCATTATAATTTTTAGGTTTAAGAGGTACATCAATATAGAATGCTGGTTTTGAATGTATTTTATCAGGACTTTAAACTAATAATACATTAGCATATTTAAATGTTTCAAATAATGATTTAAATGAAGAATCTTGCAATTATATGGTTTAATATCTAACAGTATGTAATCTAGTTGAATTAGATCTAAGTTATAATCCATTAGGTAATAATGGAATGGATTATTTATCAAGAATTTTTGACAAAGGAACTTTCATGTTAAAAAAAATAAATTTAGCAGGATGTGAAATTAAATCATTGGGCATTTTAAAATTCTTTCAAAGTTTAATTCTAAATAGATTTTTGGAGAAATTAATTTTAGATGAAAATCATTTTTCTGGAAATGGATTTAATCAAATTGAAAATGTATTAACTTCTAAAATACCATTAACCTATTTATCTCTGGCCAAATGTTGTATTAATGCTAAAGGAGCTGATTACATAGGAAATGGAGTTGAAAGAAATAAAACACTTAAAACACTTATTTTAAGAGATAATAGATTGACTGATTTAGGTGCTGAATCTATATTTAAAGGACTCTTCTTTGAAAAATTAGATTTAAAAAGATGTAATCTTACAGATAAATGTGTAATTGCTTTATCTAATATGATTAAATAAAGCACACAATTAACAACACTAATATTACCTGATAATGGTTTTCATGATTCTTCAGGAATTGTTATATGTGAAGCCATTAGAATAAATTCATCAATGTAATTAATATTTAATATTTAGATTAAATTTAGATATTTGCGAAAATCCATTAAGTTATAAATACATAGATTAAATAAATAAAGTAATTGAAACAAATAGATTGAAATATGAAATTGATAGAGTACCTATGTATAAAAGAGAAATTGTTAAACTCAATAATATAATTCAATTAAAACCTCATTTAGAAAAAGATTAAAAAGAAAATTAACAAAAAAAAGCAAAATCCCTTTAAACTTTAGAAAAAACAATTGAAGAAAAAAATAGAGTTAAAATAGAATAAATATAAAAAACAACGGATATGGATGCCAGATTATAATAAATATAATAAGAATCAAGATAAATGGATATTGATAAAATTAAATTTGATAATGAATCAAATTTGTTATTAATAAAGATGGATGATGAAATAAATGATTATTAAAAGAAAATGACTGAATGTCATTAAGTAATTACACGTTTAGAGAAAGAAATAAGAGGATTAAAAGATTAAAGACATGTTAGAAAAGGTCAAAGTGATTCTAGATTGGAAATGCTTAGATAATTAAATAGAGCAGAAGAAAGAGCACTTTAAAGAGCAGAAATGGAGAAAAGATAATTAGAAGAAAGAATAAAGGCCATGTAAGGAAAAGACTCTCTTACTAGTAGAAGGAAAACTAAGTAATAGTCATAAATTATTTAATAAAAATAATGAATAAAAAATATACATCTTCCAACTTAAATCCTAAAGTCCTAGATGATAAAGACGAGATTAATTTTGGAACTTCCTTTATTGATACAATCTTGAATTAAAGACTTTTTGAATATTTAACCTCTTTTCTTGATACGTCAAGTCTGATTAATTTTTAGCTATCATCCAAAATTTTCAAAATCAGACATTGGAAAATCTTTTTTAAGAAAGTTTTATTTGAAAGATTACACAAACCATTAGATCATAAATTAATCTCTTAATTTATTATAGATTAAAGGTGTGTATAATTTATTTTTTGGGATTCGGTAATTGATTTTAAAAGACTAAACTTATAATACTCTCATCATTATAAATATTACTCTTGTCAACAATCAATTGAAGCTACTAATATTCAAAAAGACATTGATCGTACTTTTTCATCACATTAATACTTTAAATAAATTCATAATAGATAGAGATTATAAAGAATACTTATAGCTTTATCTAAAATATAAGAATAAATTGGTTACATTTAAGGATTCAATTAAATTGCTGGTTGCTTCTTAATTAATGGTCTTAATGAATAATAAACATTTTGGATTATGTATTATATTCTAAAAAAAATGAAATACTCTACCATATTTTAAGATTAATTTAATGAACTTAAATTCTTGAATTTTACTACGGCAGTATTTTTAAGAAATTATGTTCCTTATTTATCTAATGAATTTGTAAATCTATTTAAGATATATTTAGTTATAAAATAAAATAGATATTGGAATTATAACTACAAGATGGTTTTTAGTAATTTTTGGATATGATTTACCTTAATAATTAGTAAGAATAATTTAATATTCATAGTTAATTTAAGTTTGGAATATGTTTTTATTAAAAGGTACTAAAATATTAATCAGATTTGCTATTGCTATATTTAGATTGATTTCTGATTTTGAAGGAATTAATGATTTATATGAATTACTTAAAGATAATCTTATTGAACTCTTAGAAACAAATAATTAATTATAATAAAAACTAATTGAATATTTCTAAACAATAAAAATTACCAATAGATTGATTTAAGAATTAAGAGATAAATTTGAAACTGGAGATGAATCTCTTAGTCTTTCATTTGATTAAGTTTAAAAAAAACATTATTGGAGAAAAGGTGGTGATAGTGCGAGAAGCTTAATTAGTTCTTTTAATGAGATTATAAGTGAAATATAAGAAGAAAAAGATGCTTGTTTTTAGAAATCATAGTTGTTTATGAATGCTTTTTTTCCAAAATTGATTAATAAAAATTATTTAGTAGCTTCAGAAGGTAAAAAGAATTTAGCTATTAAAATTGAAAAAAGACCTTAATTGATAAAACGCTAGATTATTTCTTAACAATTTAAAATGTCTATTCCATAATCTGCAAATGGAGATTAGGTATTAATTAAAATTATTAGGAATCTAATATTTATGCTGATGAACTATAAAGTAGAATGAGTCCAAAAGAAGATGAATCAATTGAACTTGAATGTACTCCTGAAAAAATCTTTAAGTTTTCCAATAAGAAAAGATGAATCATAATAATATTAATATACTTTTGATCTATGAATAAAATAATTATAATTTAAAGAAATATCAACGATTTCTAAAAAATTAACTTTAGTTTGTCTATAAATTGATACCAAAAATTCAATATAAAATTGAGCTAGAATTTATCTTAATTTTATAATCTAATTTAGAAAAGATATTTTCTATTAATTATTATGAATAATTATAAAATAGATGTGACAGGAGAAAATAAGATTTTTTTAGTCAAAGATAGTTATGGAAATAAATTTTATTAAAAGTAATATTCATTAGACTCTATAAAATCAAACCATTTATGGGAAGTATATAAAATAATAATCAATTTAGGTGTTAAATAGATTGAAAAATATAAATAATCCACATATAGTGAAAATTTATGAAGTTTCTAAAGATAATCAATACATATAGGTGAAAGAAGAGGCTTGCTTACAGACGTTAAGAATATAAGTTGAAAATAATAAATTGGATAACTCTTAAATTTTAAAATGCATGTTAGATATTATTGAGGGATTGATATAATTGAAAAATTTGAAAATGATGCATCGAGATATAAAACCAGATAATATAGTTTACGATGGAGAAAATTTTAAGATAATTGACTTTGAAACTGCTAAAATAATTAATAATGATAACATTAAATTCTAATCTTTGGATGTTGGGTTAATATATATTATAATCTTAGAACTAATGGATATCGAGCTCCATAAATTATTTTTGAAAAATAATATTCATCTAAATGTGATATTTGGAGTCTAGGATGTGTGCTCTATTTTATGCTATTTAAAAAAGAAATATTTTGTGAATAAAAAATTGAGAATGAATAATATTTCTAGGATATAATGAATAATATTTCTAAAAATAATTCTATACCATAAGATTTCATTAGTTTACTCTTAAGTATGTTATAAATAGATGAAGACAAAAGAATTGATTTAAAATAACTTAAAGATAAAGTTATGGGACTCTACTAAAATAATTATAACACTTCAACTGTATCGACTTAAATTGAAAATACTACACAATAATCTATTTAAATTGAAAATTACTAATAAGTTATATGTCAAAATAATGAGGATTTAAGCAATTTTAATTAAATTATGAGAGCTTTAATTTAAAATAAGATGAATGCATAAAAAAAAATTAATTTGTATCTTTTTTGGGTTAAACGTTTAGAATCTTAATATCCAGATGAATTAGAAATTAGAAAGTCTGTTGAAACTTCTTAATTGACTTTAATAAAGTAATTAAAGGAGTAAAAAATCAAATTTAATCTGTTTTTGGAGAAAGAAGATATTAAATAATCCCTGTTAAATATTTAAGAACTATAGACATATTATGATTTTTGAAAAAAGATTTATTTATAAACACCAAAAAAAAATTATCAATAAATATAGTGTAATTTTAGTTAAATCTAAATATTTTAAATATAAATATATATTTCTAAACTGTTATATTAATTTTAAAATTATGTATTTGTCAGCCTTTCATTATAATTATTATTAAAAGGACAATTATTATTATTATGGCAATGGAATTTTATATTGACAATCTTATTTTTTACCTTATTCAAAAATTGTATGTTCAGTTTCACAAATACCGCATAATATTTTTCTTGTAGGACTTAATCTTAAATTCTTTTTACAGACATTTGATTTATGTCCAACTTCCTAACAAGATTTGCATATAACTGGTTTAACATTTATTTCACTTTATTTGAATGTAGCTTATTCTTATTTAAGTTTGGAGTAAAATTTTTCTGTAAATTTTAGTTCTTAAGTTCTATCATTCAAATCGAATAATTTCACATGTTACATTTTACATTCAGGTCCATCTTTACAAAATCCATATACATAATCCATGCATAATTTTCTTACAATATGTTTTCTAAAAGTTTTGAAACAATTTTAACTTATCACATGAAGAACCCAAAAAACAAAATCCTTTGTCATAATCAGGACATGGCCAATATTTATGTTCTAATGGACATTACGGTTTGATGCAAATATCTTTCTAAAAATCTGTACATATAGGCTTTTCTTTAGGACCTGTAGTATTGAACATATTTTAATGAAATCTAAAATAATTAAAATAGTATAATTAATCATTTTTTTTTTTTAATTTTTCTATCATTTAAAGAGCCTAATAACATCCACATATTTTCATCATTAGGATAACCTACAACTGGATAATCAGATTGTGATTCTTCTTTAATTTATGGAAGTTAATCTTTAATAAAAATTAATAATTACAAATTTATGGTAAAGATTATTTATGAGGTTACTATGGAGGAAATAAAATATCAAGAGTTAATTTAAATGCATCATCTAGCATTCTTGGAATATACATTTTTAATAATGGACTTGATTCTTCTATACAAGGATTTGTATTAACTTCAATTAACCATACTTCCTAATCTGAATCTAAAATGAAATCAAATCCAAAAATCTCAAAACAATACTTTCTATCTTCAAAATTAATTTTACTACGTACTGAATTAAAAACCATCCATATTCTTTCTTTCATTTTATTTATTATCTAAAATATTCAAACAAATTACATCTTCAACATTACAAATTATATTTTATGATTTTAAATATTCTTAATAATTTTTAAATGATAATTAATTACCATCTTCAAATTCACCATAATTTTTAGAGTATTTTTAAATTGCATTATTAGTTAAATGTACAAATGTATTCTCTATATTATAAGTGAAATCTTCGGATGAAGTACGAATATATCCTTCTTAAAAAAAATAAGTATCTAATTCTTATGTTACTAATCCCCAAACTCTAATATCAAATTTTCTTTTATTAATTAAAGCTGGTCTTTCTATATATTTTTAAATCACAAATGATTATGATTTAATAATACAAGGTCCTGAAGGTTATTATCTAATATATTAATTAGGATCTTTTTTAGTTCCTTATGCACTTTAAACTTATTTAGGTGGTTCTTCTTCTCCAGATGATTCATCTTTTTAATTCAAAGCCTTTTCTTTTAATCCTTCTTAAAAATCGGATACTAATTTTACTAATGTTTCTAAATTATCAAATATTTGAATTCCTCTTCCTCTATTTAAAAATGTTGGCTTTAATAACCACATATAAGTAGAATCTTCTGATAAAAATGTATTATTCATTTGAATTTTTTAAAATTATGAACTAGAATCTCTTTAATAAGCATTACTAAAGTTTCCTCTTAATCTTCTTTTAACATCTAACATTAATTTTGCTGATGGCTTTTTAGGAGCAAATTACTCATAAGTTTTAAGGAATTAAGTAATATTGTAATCACAATTTTCATCACTAAAATCAATCACAAATGTTAATGGAGTATAATCAAATACATTTAATTTATGTTTCTAAAAATAAACATATTTTTACTTCGCAATATTAAGATAGATTTTTTATTAGATAGGATTTATTCGATATTTCTTTATGATGTTCAAAATGATTAACAATTTATTTGTAGTTTTAACTTACTATCAATCTTTCATATCTGTAACCTCTTTCACTTTATTACCATTTAAAATTAACAAACATTGAACTAGAGTCTGTAGTTTCCTTCCATTATGTTCTTTTTTACATTACTCGTTTTACTAAACCCTCATTATTACCCCACCCAATATAATACTATTTGAATTAAACTTAAATATTTACTTTTAAACAAAACTCTTAAGGAGCTGGTTTAAATTGATTTCTCTTCTTCTAAAAACTAGTTGATTTTGGATTTAATTTTCTAGTTACATTAGGCAATAAATCTTGCTTTTATTATAATTTTTCTTTTGTTTTGCTCTTCTTATGTTGTAGTTATTATTATGGAAATTAAGATTTTATTTATGGACTTTAAGACTTACATTTTGTCTCTGTTTTATTTCGTGATCTTCTACAATCTACATTTATAGTTGATTCTTCAGACAAATTCATTAATATAAATACTTTAGTACTATTATTTAATATTATTGCTAAAATATTTAACCATTAGAACCAAGACTTAAAAGTTGCAATCTTATCTTTCTTCTTAAATAACAGAACTTACAACATAACATTTATATATTAATCATACAATTTAAGTAAATTTGTAAAATGTTTTTTATATAAAATTTATTCAATTTATTCAAGATACTCAATTACCAATCTTTAGTTTTTTGAGACCCTCTAATTTCTAAACATTTCTTTAAATGATTTCCCTATATATATTAATTTAATTATATACCTTTTTAAAGCTTCATTCCTCTAAATCGATCTTATTGTTTTACTAAATCCTTCAGGTTATTTTTCTAATAATTTATTTTGTAAGCTTATGCTTTAATTATACAATGAATCAACATTGAATTCATACATCGAATTTAAAGAATCATCAATTGATCTGGAAGATTTTTGTGATATTCCATCTTATAAATTCAAATATGATTGTTTGTTAATTTTTTAATGAAATTTTGAAATTTAATTGTGAGGTACTATCCCTGCAGAAATAAGCAAAGATTTTCTCACTTTAGATTATATCTCTTTATCATGAAAAGGGTCTTCAACATGAAAATCGGTTATATATTTAATCAATTCTAAATCATTATTTATGTATTAATTTTTTAAGTAATTTTATTTAATAAATGGAACTATTTGTTTAACATTTCTAAGACTATGCAAAGATTAAGATTATTAATGAACAATATTTTTATATTAAGAATTTAAGAATATTTTCTTTTTGGCTTTTTCATTTTGAATGAAATCTCGAGATTGTAATTCATCTATATACTCTTTTGCTTTTTAATTTATTTAAAGCTTGATCGCTGAAGTTTAAGTTGGAGGATCATATTTATTTTTTGTTTCATTTTCATAAGTAGCTGTTTTGAAGGTTTAATATGGATTTTAATGTTAGATTAGTTTAATTTGATTTCCGTTGACAATGCTTTTTTATATTACAGGAGTTGACTTTTTTTGCATATACCTTCTTGAGATAAGTTTTATATATTCATCACTGATATCATACATTTGTTTGATGACACCAACATTTTTAAGTTCTCGGCTTCTTTTAATGATATCTTCTTCTTCCTTTAGTTTAATTTTATGTTCAATTAAATTCCTTAAAACCGCAAACCTAGATTCAATCCTAGATTTTTTAGAGATTTCATCTGATTTGTCTTTCAATAATTTAAGAAATCCTGTTTATTTGTGATGCTCTCCTTTATTATCTTAATCTTATTCAACTCTAAAAAGTTTAAATCTTTTTGGAGAATTAGGTCTTTGTCTATCAAGCAATTCTGATTAATTTTTCCGTTTTAAAAACTCACAAGCTGATATTTCACCTTTGATAAATTTTTCGAAATTGTCCCTTACTGAAGGACTACTGTAAACATTATTACCACAAAACATAGGAGCTTCTCTTAAAAAAGCAGGATCAATGTGTTTATTTCTTTTTTTTTATCTAACAAGACCTTCACCTAAAAAATTGCCAAACATAATGTTCCAATTTTTGAGTCTTTCATCTTTTTATTTTGGTTCATCCTATTCAGTCTTATGATCACTAAACTAAAATTGGTCCAATTAATACACAAGTAGTTGTTTAAGTTGGCTCTCTTCTTCTATGTGCTATTCTTTTCATTAATTTAATTATGATTTTTAATCGAAGAATCTGGAAAGTTGTATTTCATCCAACACCTCGTTATTTTTTCTTTTAACCTCCACAGTTTGATGTTAACAAAGACTATTACAAAATTCTTAATTGTTCTCCTACAGATCCAGAACAAAAGATAAAACAAGAATATTATAAATTAGCCAAATAATATCATCCTGACATCAATAAAGGAAATGAAGAGAAATTCAAATAAATCAATGAAGCTTGGGATGTATTCTAATTATTTTAGTATAGGTTTTATCTGATAAACATAAAAAATAATAGTATGATTCAGCAAGATCTTATAGCAATAACACTTATGAAACAAATTTTAGAGACAATTAATAACATGGACATGAAGAATTTTTTAGAAAATAAGGTCCAAATGGATATTATCAATAATATACATATAGAAGTAATTACTTAAAATTTATATAAGGTAGTAGTAATTCTTAACAATTTTCAAAATAATAAATGGAAGAAATGTAAAGATAAGCCTAAGAATTCATGAATATGTTTTAGAATGGATAATTCAATTAGTTCTCTTAGGCATTTAGATAAGCAACTAAAGATGATCCTAAATTTCATAGAGTTCATACATTTATGAATTTGGCTGAAAAGGCAGGAAAATTATATCAAGAAAGATAAAGAGCCTAAATGGAAAATGAAATCAAAAGATAATAAAATGTTTAGTCCTTTGCTAATAAAGAAGAAAAACTCAAAGAATCATTAAACAACATAAAAAGTGGAATTAAAGGTATATGGGATTAATTTACTAAAAAATGAACTTATTTATTCATATCATATCTATTCAATTTACTTTTAAATAAAAATTATCTTTCTAATGCTTATATTTCTTTTTAAGTAATTATATATTTAAAATAAGATATACTAAAATAAATAGAAAATACAAGTGAATTATATATATATAAGAATTATTTGTATTGATAATACTTATAAAAAAAGAATAAATAGATTACCATAAATAAAATTAATATAAAAATAAATTGATTATATAAATATCATTAATTACTTCTATTTGTATCCATTTTAGAACTAAATGAGATTGACAAACTTTCTGAATTTCTTTTATTTCTTTTTTAGCTTGATCCTCTTTTAAATTGAGTATTATCTATATTAATTAAACTTAAAATAGTATTGACTCCTTAAGATGTCTTTTCACTAATTGAAAAATAATTTGATTTTGTGACTGAATTAGTTTCTCTTTATCTCCAACTTAAATTACTTCCATATATATGTTCTTTTAAAACTCTGGAAGATTTCAATCTACTTGCACTACCTTGACTCTATCAACATATTTAATATAAATTACATTGCTTAAGTCTGTAAATTAATTAACTTCCTTAAATTTACAAAAATTTGGAGCTATCATATCATTTTTTTTACACCTTAAACAAATTCTATGATCAAAAGGAGGAAAGATATCTTCATTTTATTAATCAGTCTATACAGCATGATCATTTATTTACACTCTTCCAGAACTACTAAAATTCTAAACTGATGACACTTATTCTTAACTTGTATTATTATCATCTTCTATAAATATATGTTTATTTTTTTTTATTATTCCTGTTGGTCTTTTTTATATATTTTACTCCTAAGAATCATCCAAATCTCTTGAAAATTTAGCTACTTCTCTATAAAAACTTTATTAAATAGAAGAAGCTGGAGAATTTGTATAATAATTTGGACTCTTTTATTATGCTCTTGGAGGCTTTTAACTATTACGATTTTATTAATAATCCAATCTATTTTAAACTTATAATTAGTCTTGCAAATAATTTATTTACTTATCATATTACTGAACTAAATCTTAAATAATTTATTCATATTTTTATTAAGTTTGAACTATTGATTTATTTGATGTTTCTTAAACCTATTACATTCTTTTCTAAAATGATTTTTCATTTTCTTTTATTTACTAGAAACTTACAGATGAATTCAATACATCTTTAACCTGCTCTAACTCTTTTGCAAATTAAAGAGATTTTTTATCATTCTCAATCTTATATTACAATAAATCTTATTATTTTTAGAATTCTAATTAATCAATTTATCTTTATTAAAGCATAATCTCATGTTTTTAATTTGAAACAGTCTATTAAAACTATTAAATTTGAGATTGTTTTTCCTAATTTTATTTTTTTAAATACTTCTATGAGGGAATTGTACTCCTATTAAATTTCATTCATTTATTATTCATATTAAGCTGAATTACTATCTATTTCTTATTAAAGTTATATTATCAGTGTTTCTTTCTCTAGAATAGCCTATAATTTAATTTAATTATTACCTATTCCAATTGTGATGCTTAGAGTTTTAATTTATCGAACAATTAAGATTATTATTGATATTATAATTATGTTTAATCTAATGCTAACTTATTAACTTTCAATTCATTTAAATAATTTATTTCTTATTATTTTAATTATTCTTATAATAAATTGATTTTTTGGTTTAATAATTAATTCTCACTTTTAAGAGTTGTTTCTTTTTCAATCATCTTATGACTCTCTAATAATTTCTCCTATTCTTATATTAAAATTTTTTATTAAAAATCTTCAGATTATGTCAATGCTTTTTTTAATCTATTTTCTGTTTATAATTTATATTCCTTAAATTCTTTTAATAAGTCATTGTACATAATTTAATATTTCATATTATCATCTAATTCTTTTAATCCTGAATTTTATGTATTATTGGTTTCATAGCTTTCTTTTAATTATTTTTATAATACATCATTTAACTTTAATTATTTCTTAATTTCAATTTCTTAATTTTATATTTATTTCTCAAGATCTTAAACTTAATTTTTTAATTATTTCAATACTTCTTCTTATTCTTTTTATTTTTCTTAGAGTTTTGTATTTGATAATTAAGTATTATTTAATTCGGTTTCTAATTATTAGATCCTTAATGATTGAGATTAGGATAATTATAGGTATTATTTGATTTCATCATTTTCATCATTTTTGGACTAATAGAGAATGGATTCTAATTCATTATTTTACTTATTGAGTTTTTCAATAATGGATAAATGTTTTTCTTATTCATTTTCTAACTTAAGTTTGATATCATTCAAATCATTAATATCATTTTTGTATTTTTATAATTCTTTATATAAGTTCGTATTACTCTTTTAGAGTTGTTTAATTTAATGAGTGTACATTTACAATTGATTATTGTAGACTTAATTTTCTTTTTCAACTTCAATACTATTATTAAGAATGTTCTTCATTTCATCTTAAAGTTATAGTTTTTCTTGATGTTTTTCATCAATTCTTTATTTGATTTAGTTTTAGATTTATTTATTTTCTTTGATTATGATTTCATGTTATTATTTAACTTCATCAATTTCTTTTTAATATTTAAATATCTAATTATGTAAATCTTTAATTTCGCATTCTTGATTATAAACAATTTAATCTAAGGAATCAAAAATATAATTAATAAGATTGTTATTAGATTTAGGTTAAGGAATTCTGAATCTTTCTAATTGATTAGTTATTAATAATTCAAGTTCTCTCCATTATTCCCATGATGAATTGTTCTATAATTATTGGATAATTTAATTTTTTTCTTCTAGTTATTAACTTAACATCATATTAATTTTCTATTCATTTTTAAATAGATTATTCTATTATTCTTATGAATTAAGTTTTTATTCTTGTAATTATAAGGTAATTCGATTGAACTCGTTCATTGATAATAATTTAAAATCAATAGAAGTAAGGTCTAATTTTTTTTGTTTCAAAGCTAAGACTTATTGCTCTACTTCTTGGAACACTTATGCAGCAGCTTCTACTTCTTAAGATGACACTGTTTATTGACTAATATGATATAGGGCACTTATCAATACTTTTCATATACGTTTTCAATTTCTAGAGTTATCTTCTGATTAAATTCTATTAATTTTTTTATGAATGTCAACATGTCTTTGATTTAATCTTCATCCTATTTTTATAGTTTATTAATCTCCCTTGTTATGATTGTAGCCATAGATATTTTGGATTCTTTAAATCGTGTATATTCCAAATCAATCTAATTTTACACATTAACCATTTCTTATTTATAATGTGATAATTTTTTGCTGTATTCTTTTAACTTCAATCTATTTTTATTATTAGTTAGTATAAGTTAAGGACCTGTGCTTTCTTCCTTTAAAAAAGATTCATTAACAGAAGATTTATTTTAAACTCCACTAACATCTTTAAAATCTCTTAATAATTGATCCATGAATTATACCTTGCTCATTTTGAATTTGTATAAATATTAATTTGTTCGTTAATATATATGTAATTTGTGAATTAAACTCCATCCCCAAAGAAATCACTTAATACAATACAAGGTCAATAAGGAAAAACATATAAGAAAATAAAGTCTGTGAAAAAGACTTCAAAATAATTAGAGATTCCTCTTATTTCCACTTAGCGAACATTAAAGACTACAGATTAAATTTTATCTTAACGAAGTCCTATTACTGCTACAACAAAAACAACAAAATATACTATTGAAACAAAACGGAGTATGTCTCCTGAAGAAATAAAAACTTTTAGAAAAAGTAATAAGACATAAAAAAATTAGAAAGACACCAATAAGACAAAACAAAAATCTCCTTTATCTTCTGAAAAATAATATCCTATCAACAAATTGTTTATACAAGAATACATAAAGGAAAAATAGAAATCAATTCAGTTGAAAGAAAAACTTAGTTAATAGAAAGTCTTAAATGATAAATAAAAAAAGTATTTTAGATAAATTTATATTTGTTAGATTATTCAATCTGTAAAAATTAGAATTAGAAACTAAAAAGATATTTCAAAATACTAAAAAAACAAAAAAGAAAACTTCTAAAAAAAAAAAGTTAAACAATAAAAAATTTAATTAGATTATTAAAAGATTTGAAGAATTATCCAAAAGGTATGAAAAAGTTCAACTTGATTAAATTGCTAAATTTTAATTAGAAGTAGCTAAACATTAATAATCTTATTAAACTTAAACTGACAATTAATCCTAAATTAATATTAATTAAGATGAATTAGATATGTTTGATGAGTATTATTAACATTAAGCAGCATTATTAATTTAAATTCATTGGAGAGAATATAAAAAATAAAAAGAGAACAAGAAATAGAAAAAAAATAAAGCATCATTATCTAAATTTTAATAAATCAGCTTAGATTTAGAATAACAATAATTGGTATCTTAATAAACATCTCCAAGCAATTATGAGGATGGTTTTCTATTTTGTTAAGGAGGAGAAAAATAAGTTCATATTTCAAATATAAGAAGTTCAATAATTTCTGAAGAATCATCCCCTGTTGTTAATTAATTAAATTAAGAATTTGAAAATTGGAATCTATTTACTTAAAGAATAGTTAAGGATAAAGATATTACAAGCATAAATAAATAAATGTAATAATAGATTATATCTATTATTTAAAATCATTTAAAATAATCTCAAAATATATCAGAAAGAAAGAGTGAAAATGAAATAATATAAGATAGAAGTATGAATAAACATCAAAAATAATTAAGTGAAGATCTGTCTAAAACAAATGTATTAATGTTATAAAGAAAATCTTAATTAGAAGAAAACTTAGTATTAAATTATAGAGAGGAAGCTTTATATCTTAGATATGATGTAGAATAAAAAAATACTTCAGAAAAAGATCATTAATTACTTGAAGATTGGTTGAATAAGGAATTAGAAGATTTATAAAACACAAGAAAAGCTTTTGAGATGGGTCACCGAAGAGAAATCTCAACAATAAAAAAAATATAAAGAGATATACTAATAGCATCAGCAGAACTGTAGAATGATCCATAGGATACTTTTTAGATTTAACTAATATAATAATAAATAGATGAATAATTTAATGGTCTAAAGGTTACAAAACATAATGATAAATCATAATAAGAAATATAAGAAACAGTAGATTTAGTAACTACTGAAATATTAAATGAAATGATGATAGATGTCGCTGATGAAGTATTAAATAAAAAAGATGATCTTTACTTAATTATTTCAAATCTTATTGTTAATTAGGATGAATCACCTTGTGTTCCTACTTCAATGGCTGATATCGAATAATATATAGACAATCTCTTTTAATATATATTAAAAAATCATAAATAATCCCTAGTTCTAAATTTGAATACTTCTTTTGGATTTACTCCTATTTAAAGACTGAGATTAATTCATGGAAATGAAGATGATGATATTGATAATAATAAAGAATTCTAAGAATAAATTGCATTCCCAATAGATGAGACTATTTTTGTAGAATATGAAAATTAGAGAATGCCAATAACAGAAAATGAAGATGAGATTGGTAGTGCTATTTTGGAGTTGTAGCATATTCATAATAAAGCAATATTTGATGCTTGTAATGAAGTTTTGAATCGTTATAGACCTTATTATTATAGTAAATATTTAAATAAATTAAGATTCTGGTATAAAATATCCATGGGAATAAAAGGGAATTAGTTTATAAACAATTACAAATGAAAGATTAACTCAAATATTGGAAGAAGTGAAATCAATAGTATTAAAATAAAGCAAGATTTTGTGTGGATTTTACCCAACTGAAGATTATGAAATAATTAAAGAAGAAAAATAAGAAATAATTGAAGAGAAAAATATATTGATGCTAATGCAACAATTAAATTTAGTTGAAAATCCTTTATTAGTTGATACTAATATTTAATTTGATAATTTGGCATTAATTAGAGATGAGTAATTATACAAATTACTTGTTGAAGATGTAAATTATTTAGAATATGTTATAGAATAAAGAACAAGAATATAAATGGATGTTAATTGAGGATGAAAAAGCTGAATATTTAATGGAATTAAGTGATTAAATTTTAGAGAATCTTATAGAGGAATTTTCGAGAGAATTGTGATTATGCTTATATATTTAATATTTAATGTATAATTAGTTATAATAGTAAATTAGTTTAAAGTTTTTGTATGATTTAGTTAAAGATTAGTATATTTTTATATAAAGTATGGTATTTAAAATTAATAAAATTGTAAAAATAAATAAATCTACTTAATAAAAAGTAGAAGATTTATTTAATTTATAGATGATAGATATAAAAATAATGAAATATGAGTTAGATGAGTATAAAAAATATGAGAATTAAAATGTTTAATATTTGATCATAATAAATAAAAATAATAAGAATTGGTATGATGTTGACAGAAAGTATGTAAATAAATTCTGGACATTAAAGTATGATCCATGATATAAAATATGATTATTATGGTGATAAATTAGCAAGTTGTGGGAGTGATGGATATATTAATATCTATGACGTGTCAAAAAAATAATAAGTTGGTTAAATAAAAATGTAAGAAATGAATACAATATAGTAGACGAGATTCACCATTGTTTTCATTATCATGGTCACATCCAAGATTTGGAAATGTATTAGCAACTTCATCATATGATGGAGAAATATCAATATTTAAGGAATAAAAAGATTGGATGAAAGTAGCTAGTTTTTAGAATGAAGGGAGTGTTAATTGTGTTTAATTTATGCCAAGAGAATTGTTTTTAGCATGTGGTACATCAGATGGATTTGTAATTTTATTGGATAATAATAAAAATTGGGATGTAGATTATAAATGGTAAGCACATGAATCAACAATACATGGATTATGCTGGAATTATGATGGTTCATTATTAGCTACTTGTAGTGCTGATAAATTAATAAAAATATGGGAATTTACAAATAATAATAAACCTTAATTGAAATATACAATACAATAACATTTAGATGTAGTAAAAGATGTTTAATTTCATCCATTGGAAAATAATATTCTTGTATCAGGAGGAGATGTAAAATATATATTAAATTGATAGGATGGTAAATTAAGAATACATAGATTAGATGATGATGTTGTTGAAATTCAATTGATTGATTTTCATATGACTATTTGGAGAATAGCATTTAATATGTTAGGAAATTTATTAACTATAAATGGAGAGATTAATGGTTAAAGTTAAATACAAACATTAAAATAAGAAGATAATTATTAATATAGCCAAATTGATTGCAATTGAATAATGTATAGATGAAAATGAAATTATATCAACTTGTTAAATTTACATTTATATTTGCTTCTTTGGCTAATCTTAATATTGCTGCCATTCTAACAGCTTTCTTTGCTGCTTCATCTAGATCTTCTGTAAACATCATGTTGAATCCTGATTCATCAATCAATTTCTTAGCTTCTTCGACTTTTGTTCCTTTCATTCTTAAAACCATTGGTTTCTTCATTCCTAATACTGTCAACCCTTTTAATAATCCCAATACTATTTAATCACACCTTTTAGAATAATACTAATAAATATACCTAGCAATACCAGCAAAAATATTAACAAGAATAGCTTCTACATTTGGATCTTTATCCATAATTTTAAGTGCTGATACAATTTCTTAGTCTGTAGCTTTACCACCAACATCTAAGAAATTAGCAGGAGATCCCTCATATTATTTAATTAAATCCATTGTAGCCATAGCCAATCCTGCTCCATTAACCATACAACCAATATTTCCATCCAATGCTATATAATTTAATCCATGTTTTGATGCTTCTACTTCTTTCCAATCTTTCTATCTTATATCCTCCATATGAAATATAGCATGTTATCTAAATTAAGAATTATCATCTATATTAAGTTTTTGATCACAAATAATCAAATTACCTTATAAATCAATCCCCAATGGATTAATTTCTAATAACGTTGCATCAGTTTATAAAAAGATATCGAACATTTTTTTTAATATCTAATTATTATTAGATATATAATTACATCTGTCAACTAATTTTATTAGATTGGATTTAATTTATAAACTTTTGAAACCTTTTCATAAATAGTAAAATCAATATCTTCTACGTTGTTTGGCATTTCAATAGAGAATTTCTTAATATAATTAGGATCACTTTCCTCAATATGAATACCTCCCTTTTCAGATGCTACAATCCCTAATCCTCCTGTATTTCTATCCAAAAGGATTGACAGATACAATTCCTTTCTTAAGAAATTTCTTTCTACCACATAAACCATTTCACACTTCTTACCCAAACTTCCAGTTTGTTTTGTAATTAGTGTATTACCCAACATTTTACTAGAATATTCTTTAACATCTTCTGGTGTTGAAGCTATGTGTATTCCCTATATATGTATATATATTCATTCATACACTATTAAATCCATTTTCTTTAAAGTATCCTTTTCCTCTTCCTCCAGTATGACATTAAGCTTTAACAACCACATCTGTAAACGAATTTCTATCAGAACCCTCTTGAATAATTTTCAAAGCTGCCTTGTATGCCTCATCAGGGGTCTTACAAATCCTTCCAGGAGGAATAGGAAGTTAAAATGACTTGAAAAATTCAGCTGTCTAATACTCATGAAGAGATAGAAAATATTTAGGTATACGATGGAATCTAAACATTTAAGATATTTATTTATATTATTATATAATTTCATTACCATAATCTCTTTCCCAAATATCTTTATTATTATAATCTAATTTTTATAAAATGTTATCAAATTAAGAAAGAGATTCTACTTTATATTCAGAATCACTCACATTATTCTCATTCTTTCTGATCTTTAAGTATTATCTCAGGTGAATATTTTCACCTATGGTTCGCATTTATATTAAATCTAATAAATATTATTAGAGATCTGAAATTCAGATTTTATCTACTACAATGATGCCGTTATCTTCTAAGGCTATTGATCTAATAACGGATATCTTAAAAATGATTTTATATTTATATACCTATATTTTACACTATGCAGTTCATCCTATTAACTAAATATTTTCCAAATTTTGTTTTTAATCTGCAGATCCTATAATAAAAGAATATATCATCAATTTATCACCATTTTTTCCTACTGCTTGTTCAAATCCAGTATTTTTAATTTAAAATTTTCTTATCAACTCATTTTCCTTAATTATTTTTTTGAAGACTTTTAAATTTATCTTCTAAATATTGAGATATTCCTATGAATTTGAATAAAGTTGTAAAATGATATTATCGATCATTCAACAACCCTTTCATAAAAATTTCTTTCAAATTATATTATTATTACATATTGGATTGTACTAACCTATAATTACATATAATTAGTTTTAATTATTTGCTAATACATAAGTTTCAGTTAGATTTTTTATGGTTTGATATTCTGTAATTCTAACATCTATTCCAACAATAATACTTCAAATAATAAGAATATACATATCCAATTAGACATCAATAATGTCCCATAAACATTAGATTCATCAAATTCCACTTTTTTTTTAAATAAATGTGAAGAAAAAATTAGAAAGTTGTTGATAATAAATATTATTTAGATTGGTCTTTGAGATTTTGATTAATCGATCATTGGTAATTTATTTTTCCAAAAGCCCAAGTTCTCAAATTCTGCGAAATCTTATTTCCTTATAATTAGAGTTAAGTTGAGAAGAATAATGTAATCAGAAACTTGAAATAAATGTAAGGAATATTCAGATATTTTCCCTTTTTAAAATAAGAAATAATTTATTTCATAGAATATGAGTAATCCAAGAGTAATACTTAAAAATAACCCATTTAAGAACCAATAGATTTTACTAACAAAAAACATAGACATCTATTTCTTATATTCATAAGACTAAATCTGTATAGAGTCTAACTATTAAAATGATTTACATAAATGATTTACATGTTAATTGTTGAAAATATTAATGAAGAGTAAATCCAGAAAAATAATAGTATAAACAGTCATGTTAAGTTATCATTAGAATGAATTCAATAAATTCAACAGCTCTGAGTAGTTAATAATTTTACAAATATCTAGAGTTAATAATGCAATCTGCAAAATGATTGAATAATTAAAAGGAAAAGATTAAGTTTAGAAATTGGATTGTAAATCATTGAATTTTGCTGCCATTCCTAAAATATATAGAACACTTATTATAATAGGAAGCAAATATGTAAATACAATTAAAGCATCCTAAATTGGCATTTAATAATAAATATTTCTTTTGCAATTATTTAAAAATTAAATTATCTAATTTATGTTATCCACAGCTGCAGGTTTCCAATCGATGCTTAAAGAAGTATGATACATAGTATTAAAAATGTCAGGGGGCTCGTCATTATCAAGGATTAGAAGAAGCCATTCTTAAGAATATTTAAGCATGCAAAGAGATCTCTAACATGACTAAGACATCATTAGGTCCAAATGGAATGAAAAAAATGGTTGTTAATCATATTGATAAAATATTTGTAACAAGTGATGCAGCAACAATTCTTAAAGAAATGGAAATCTAACATCCTGCCGCCAAGATGATTCTTATGGCTGCAAAAATGTAAGAAACTGAATAAGGAGATGCTACAAATTTTGTAATTACTTTAGCTGGAGAACTATTGTAATAGGCTGAAAGCTTAATTAAACTAGGATTACATCCAAGGTATTTATTCATAATCATTCATATAGCTAAATTGTAGTTGGTTATGAAACAGCATTAAAAAAAGCATTAGATTTATTAGATGAATAAAAAGTATGGGAAATTAATGATGTTGCTGATGAATAATAAGTCTTTTAAGCTATAAGAACTTCTTTAAGTAGTAAATTATCAGAGTAAATAATTATATATAGATTATTTAGTTATTCCAATCTAATTGCTGGACTTGTAGCTAAAGCATGTATAAGATGTTTACCTAGAGAAAAATCAAACTTTGATTCTGAATATGTAAGAGTTACAAAAATTTTGGGTGGATCTGTTTTAGATAGTCATGTTTTATCTGGATTAATTGTGACTAGAAATGTGGAAGGATAAATTAATAGATTGGAGAATCCTAAGATATGTGTATTTAATGCACCATTAGATCCATAATCATAAGAAACGAAAGGAACTGTTTTAATTAAAAATGCTTCAGAGTTAATGAATTATACCAAAAGTGAAGAAGAATTAGCTGAAAAGATAGTAAAAAGTATTGCAGATGCAGGTGTTAATCTTATAGTTGCTGGAGGAAGCATTTCAGAATTAGTATTACATTTTGTAGAAAAATATAAAATGATGATTGTTAAAGTTTAATCAAAATTTGAATTAAAAAGAATATGTAAAGCAATTGGAGCTAGTGCTTTATCAAGATTATCTGCTCCTATGCCAGATGAATTAGGAACATGTGATCGAGTTCATGTATAAGAAATTGGTAGTCAAAAAGTTACTATTTTTGAAAAGTAAAGTGATACTTGTAAATTGGCTACTATTGTTTTAAGAGGAGCTACTTAAAATTTATTAGATGATATTGAAAGAGCTATTGATGATGGGGTTAGTTGTTATAGATCATTACTTAAAGATTCTAGATTTGTATATGGTGGTGGAGCTACAGAAATTGTAAAATTCTTCTCTCTATCTTTTTTATTAGAAATTAGCTTAATAATTAGAATAAGAAGCAAATAAAATTAAATCTATTGATTAATATGCTTACCGACAATATGCCTAGGCTTTTGAAATCATTCCAAGAATTTTAATTGATAATGCTGGTCTTGCATAAAATGAAATGATGGCTCAATTACATAAATTAAATTCTGAAAAACCACATTCTTTAAATATTTCTGTATTTATTTTAAATTATTTAGAATGGAACATTAACTCCATCAAATGAAATGAAAGTTTTCGATCATCTTAAAACTAAATGGTGGGCTGTTAAATTAGCTACAGATGCTGCAGTCACAATCTTAAGAGTTGATTAAGTAATATTCTTATTTATACTTTAGATTATTATTGCTAAACCAGCTGGAGGACCTAAAATGCCAGATAGAGGTCATTGGGATGATTAAGATTGAGTGTGAAAAAATTATAAATCATAACATATATATTATTATCAATCATCATTTCTTTATTGCTTAAATTTGTTTACCTTATATCAAATCTACTATAATATTTTATTTTTATTTATAATTATATCCTTCCTTTTTACAAATTTATTCTTTTATCTAATAAATTTTGTAAAAGAAAATAATTTTTTTATTTTTTGTAAATTATGCAAATTATCTTTTACAACTTTATCAAAACCCTTGTCTAACAATTTTAAGGATTTTCTATGAATTTTTTGTACATTAAGTTTGGTTTTTAAAAATTTCGTCCAATTATATTTTAACAAAATCTAAGCTTGCCTCAATTGAATTATGTTTATCTAATTACTTAAATTTAAATCGATATATTCATTGCAAATCTTTTAATATCAGTTATTTCTAATTGTATAAATTCAATAACTTTAGAGAATTCATTTTCTTTCTCTTTTATTTCTTTACAAATTTAAAGTTAAATAGCTATTAATTGATTAAATAAATATCAAATTAAGAAATCCTATATAGATAAAATTGAATAATATTTTAAAGTATTTTCAATTCCCAAAGGCTGTCTTTTATCAGCTTGAATAATATTTTATATTAAATATTTCTAAACTAAAGTTTTCATCTGAATTTAATTGATAGAATAATTAAAAAAATGCTGATTAGACCAAAAATAAGTTAGTATACAGTTCTTTTATGATATTTATATTTATAAATTTATTTTAAAAATTAGTTTAATAAATAATTCATAAAAAATATTTGATATTTAGATATTTATATAAAAGCATCTCAAACCAAAAAATAGACAATTTTTGTAAAAAGACAGAAAGTAATGGAAAAGTAATTCCCTATTGATATATTAAGGTGTGATTTATTAATTTAATTAATTAATATTTCTTTTTATAAATTTTCTAATGAGTACAAAAACCCATTAAAGAATTCTCACCTTCATAAAAAAATATAAAGACGAGTATATGCATCATATTTAAATATAGATTGAGCTCTTCTACTGGAATTGATGAATTTGCTGATTTATTAAATGACTGCTTTGATTTATTCAATCAAGATTAATCAAGAAGAGAAAAGGTTAATATAATGTTGGAAAGTCTTGTTTTAGATGATGATAGTAAGCTTGTAGAAGGAGGTAAAATAATAAATTAAAAGAAGATTTACAAAAATATGTGGAGAGATTAATTGATTTCGTTGAAGGACCAAGTGATGATCCATTAGAAAAAAACAATCTTAAGTAAAGAAGTTCATCAGGTAGTTCAGATGAGGAAGATAATAGAGGTCATAATAAATAATAAAATAAACATAAAAGAGATAGAAGCAGAGACAGGGAAAAAAATAAAAAATCAAAAAAAAATTAAAAAAACACAAACCTTATTTCAGAATTATCAAAAGTATTTGGAAAAGAAATTAATATTAAGGATTTACTATCATCTCTAACAAATAATAATAATAGAAAATAATAGCACAATAATAATAATAAAAATGTTGTATTCTTATAAAATGTTCCAAGAGAAATGAGATCTTATTCTGAAATTGAATCTTTACTTTAAGGAAGAGGAGAATTAGTTAAAATTCAACTATTAGGAAGGTAATTTATAAATTTAGTTTAGAGTACCTTCAGTTCAATTTAAAAATCATAATGATGCATAAGCTTTAATTGATAAATTTATTGTCCATAAAGGAGTTAAAATTGAATTTACATCAAGTTTAAATAAAGTAAATTGTTTGAATATCATAAAGTAGCAATAACATTAAGAAGATCATAAAAATAATAAGATTATTATATTAGATAAAGAAGGAAAAAAGGTATCTAATCAAACTAGTTAACCAGCTGCCCCTCTATAATAATCTTAGCAATAATAATAATAAGTGTCACAAAAGCCAGATTCAAAAATGGAAGAGGAAACAGACTAAAAAAAAACCAAAGAAGAGTAAGAATTAAACACACAAATTGAATAAATTAAAGGATAGGCCAAAACATTAATTGTTGATAAATTAAGATTAGCTTTATTACTGATTAAAAGGAAAGATAATTATCCTCCTTAATTAAGTGTTGAAATAGATGAATTAAAAAAGTAAATAATCAAATTAAATATTAGATTACTAACTTAGAAAAAAGAAGAAATTTAAAAAATGAACTCATTGGAATAACTCAAAGCAGAATTATAATGGCTAAATGAGAATTATGATTTCACTCTATTAATTACTTAGATTCCAGAATAATTATTTAAAGACAAAACTGTTACCAAAGTCCTCAATGAAGAATTTTAAGTAAGCATTCAAATTTATTCTAAGAAATACGGAAAAATTGATAACTTGCAAATAAAAATAAAAGACAAAGCCGCCCATCTTAAATTCTTTAGTTTTGATTCAGCAGAAAAAGTAAATAAAATTTAATATATAGGCTTATTATCAAGCAAATGAAAATTCAAATTTAAAGGTAGAGTTTTTAAATTAAGGTATTAAAAAGGTATTAATTGCTTAAAGTTGAAATATTTTATAAATCATAATATTTAATTTAATTAAATAATTAATAATTAATCTAATATAACTGAAAATTTGGAGCATTTATTCTAAATTTTTTATAAACATCCTGGTTTTATTTAACAAATATCACTTTTTTAGAAAGTAATTATTCATTAGGTAATGTTATAAATAATGACATAAGAAACTTTTAGTCTAAAATTTGAGAAATATTTCGATTTGTTTGATGAAACTTTTTCTTTAAATCCATAAACAATAACAATTTCAGAAAATGGAAAATATATTCTTTATCGTCATGGAACCTATACGATTAATAGTTAACATACTGTTATTAGCTCTGAAGGAAAAGTTATGTTTCAGATTTCTGGGATTGTTTAAGCCTGCTTTTCTTAAGATTCTTAATTTTTACTTTTTTCTTAAAGGACAAATTAAAATTAAATAGATCTTTGTCTTCTGAATTGTGAAATAGAACAACTTATTTGGAAAAAATCATTCATTTGTAGTGACTTTGAAAAAGATTCAATATTCTCAATTTAAATAAACAAGAACAATTAATTTGCAATTATAAGCACTAATTTTTAAAGATATTTTCATGTTTCAATTGATGGTACATATAAAGAAATTACTTTAAAATAATTTTAACCTATGAAATACTTTGATTAATTAAAATTCTTAGATCTAGACTCATATATTATAGGTAAAATAGATTCAACTTAAAGAGAGAAAAAATATTCTTATTTTTTTACATATAAGGATAATAAATTGATTTTTAATTGGAAAATTGTTGCTTCAAAAAATTAAAGATTTGAAATTCAAAATAAATTTTTGATCATCCTCAAAGATGTTACTAAATTTTCTTTAAGATTAACAACATCAGGAAAGCTATTAAGAAATATTTTAGTTAATTAAGAAGAACCCTCTCATTTTATTTACTTTAATAAAGTATTTTATCAATTAGCTGAATTAAACTTAATTAAGTATGATTTAATTAGAGGGAAAAAAATTCAAATTTAATGTTAAATGCCAAGGAAACATTAAAACAATTTAGATCATTTAAGAAAAGATTAAAATATAATTCGAGCGAATACTTATGATGAAGGTTTCACCCAAAGATTAGAATTTTTTAGGTTAAAATAATTATAGAAATGATCATTTAATATTTATGGAATTAACTTCATAAAAAAGTATTTTTAGTAATTTTCAGTTTATTTTTATTTTTTTATTTATTGTTTCATACATTTCGAAGGATTTATTATTCTCTAAATGATAGATGATGAGTTGAAGAGTTTTTTGAATTTTAAGATCATCAATTTTCTCTAATTAAATAAAAAATCTTTATGTAAATAATCTTTCGAATTATCCTATTTCCATTTTGAATTTATCCAAGAGTTTTTTTTAATTTAAGATAATTAATACTATTTTCAAAATGCAATTAATGAATTTATGTTCATTTTTTTATTTTTCCTTAAAGAAACCTGAGAGTTAAGAGCTAGGATTTAATTTTTGAATTATCATCAATATTTCATCTAAATATTCAGGTAATAAACTAATTATATTAAATTTTTTTAAATAAAAAATGTATTCATCAGTTTATGTTTCTGTTTTTAAAATATTAATTACAATTTTTAAAATTAAATTTAATATAGTTGGATTTGAATAGTCTCTACAGATATTAATCAATTGTTTATAAAATTTTTTATTAGTTATACAAAGCGAAAACTGTTTTATCAAATACTTATAAATTCTGAGGGAATCTTGCAAAATAAAAGTTGATTATTGTCCCAAATTCTGTAAAAGTCGATCTAAAAAAGTTTATTTTTCTATTTTTTCTTTCGGAAATTGAGGCTTTTTTATAAATTTTTCAATTAGCTAAACCAGAGTACTTTCAAGTGTATTCAATTTATCATCTACCCAAATAATAATTATTTCATCCCAAGCATATAGTAGTTATTCATCTATTTCCTAATTAGGGATTTTCATTATCTTATTAATAATTTTTATTGCTATTTTACAAGCCTTACTTTCTGGATTTTTTATTATATTGAATTTATCCTTGATAAAATTAAGTGCTAAATTTTTATATAATTAAGGCATTAATTTACAAAATATATTTAAAGCCGATAGATAATCTACAGAATCCTCTAATAAAATGATTTTATCTAATTTTTATTCTATTTTACAAAATTAATATATTTAAGAAACTATGGTGTTATCTATTTTCGATAAAAGACCGAAAATTTTTATTATTTATACATGAAACAAACCATTTGAATCTTTATTGTAAATTTGAGTCAAACTTTGAAAAGAGACTTTTTTAATTAAGAGCTAGAGCTAAAAATTTGTAGCATTTAATATTTGCAAAAGAATCCCTACATATTATAATTATTATTGATTACATAAGGCTTCAAATTAAAGGCGTTCAACCATTTAAGCTTAAAAAATCTACTAAATTATTGTAATTAAAAGTTCAATTTGTTAGTCTTAAAAATTCTCTTCTTAATTATCATAATTAGATATTTATTTTCTAATTGATATTAATCCCTAATGAATTCTAATAAAGTCTTCACTTTTTAAATTTTCAATAGCTTCTTAAAAAGTCAAATTAGCAGTGGAATCATGCGAAAGTAAAATCTATTTCAAAGCTTTAGAAATATTTTAGGGGTATAATTTATCAATTTCTTTGTAATTTGACATAATTAAATAAAATTTTTTATTAGTATAAAAATTCTTTAATTAATTTTTTAATTATAATAAAAAAATTGATAATAATATTGTAATTTTTACTTTGATTACTCATCTTCAAAAATAAAAGATGAATTTTATATTGCTTTTGAATAAAATATGTAGTATGGTAATATTTTGATCTCATAGACACAAGTTCTTAATGAATTTTTGTATTTCTTTTCAAAATTTATAAGTTTAAATAATTTTAAATTAAAAATTATCAATGAGAATTGTTTAAAATCAATTATACTTATATGTTAATTTTTAAGTGATCAAAATTATTGCTTACAAGTAATACTGAAAATATATAGTATTCTCATCTATTTATTCTTAATAATAAAATAGTTTAAAATCTAGTTTTAAAAATAATATTTTTTAGAAAATCATAATGGGAAGTTTTTGTTCATAATNAAAATTAAGTGCTAAATTTTTATATAATTAAGGCATTAATTTACAAAATATATTTAAAGCCGATAGATAATCTACAGAATCCTCTAATAAAATGATTTTATCTAATTTTTATTCTATTTTACAAAATTAATATATTTAAGAAACTATGGTGTTATCTATTTTCGATAAAAGACCGAAAATTTTTATTATTTATACATGAAACAAACCATTTGAATCTTTATTGTAAATTTGAGTCAAACTTTGAAAAGAGACTTTTTTAATTAAGAGCTAGAGCTAAAAATTTGTAGCATTTAATATTTGCAAAAGAATCCCTACATATTATAATTATTATTGATTACATAAGGCTTCAAATTAAAGGCGTTCAACCATTTAAGCTTAAAAAATCTACTAAATTATTGTAATTAAAAGTTCAATTTGTTAGTCTTAAAAATTCTCTTCTTAATTATCATAATTAGATATTTATTTTCTAATTGATATTAATCCCTAATGAATTCTAATAAAGTCTTCACTTTTTAAATTTTCAATAGCTTCTTAAAAAGTCAAATTAGCAGTGGAATCATGCGAAAGTAAAATCTATTTCAAAGCTTTAGAAATATTTTAGGGGTATAATTTATCAATTTCTTTGTAATTTGACATAATTAAATAAAATTTTTTATTAGTATAAAAATTCTTTAATTAATTTTTTAATTATAATAAAAAAATTGATAATAATATTGTAATTTTTACTTTGATTACTCATCTTCAAAAATAAAAGATGAATTTTATATTGCTTTTGAATAAAATATGTAGTATGGTAATATTTTGATCTCATAGACACAAGTTCTTAATGAATTTTTGTATTTCTTTTCAAAATTTATAAGTTTAAATAATTTTAAATTAAAAATTATCAATGAGAATTGTTTAAAATCAATTATACTTATATGTTAATTTTTAAGTGATCAAAATTATTGCTTACAAGTAATACTGAAAATATATAGTATTCTCATCTATTTATTCTTAATAATAAAATAGTTTAAAATCTAGTTTTAAAAATAATATTTTTTAGAAAATCATAATGGGAAGTTTTTGTTCATAATAAACAAGGCAAAATTGTCAAGATTAAATTTTAATGATTGAATCTTAAACTGATATCAAGGAAGACGATGACATAAAGATTATGTAAATAACACTATTAAAGCCAAAATTTCTGAATTATCAAGTATTAACTTGAATTAATTTTTTAACTCATAGTTAGAAAAGCAAAAATTTGTAAGAGCTCCCACTCAATTCCTTGATAAAAAAGCTTCATAAGAAGTGTTTGCTATTAATTCAAATAGGAAACTTAAAGGAATTTTAAAACAACAAAATTAATTTTCAATCAAAAGGGCCAATACCTTTGATTAGATCAAATGTGTTCGTTTTAACTTTGTTCTGTAAGATTAGGAAAGTTAAGGATCAAAAAATTTGGTTAAATTGATAAAATTACTTAACCATAGAACAATATAAAAATGAATGATATATTGTTTGTTTTCAATTAAGTTAAATCGATTAAGATTCTAAATGTCATAAAAAAACTTTCAATTAGTTTATCTTTAAATAAATATGATTTAAATCCAATGATAATCCAATAAGATTAAAAGAATCAAAAAAAAATAAGATATTCATTTATTCTAAATTTTTTGCATTTTTTCTTTTATAAGTTAAAATTATTTATTAGCATTTTATTTTAAATAACATTATTTAAAATCAATCAATACTAATTATATTATTTAAAGATACTTATTTAAATTACCTAAAATATTGCTTAGATTTTAACAGAAAGCCTCTCTAAGAGTATAATAATTGCTGCGATTATAACAAATTATAAATCTCGCTTATAAATTATTATCTAATGATAGCAAGAGGTATTTATTTGGAACTATTCGCAACTAATTGGAACTGTTTTCAACTGCATTCCTATTTCTAGCCTAAATATATTAAGAAAGGATTTTCAAATATATTTTTTTAAATAATCATTCTTGGGAAAGATGAAAAATATAAAAAAATAAAATTCAATGGTTTTAATCTGTAAAAATTATTTCAAAAGAAATATGTAAAATAGAGAGTGAAATTAAATTTGATAAAAAAATAAGAATTGGATATCAACTTAAATATTAAATTTTATTTAATTGATTTACTAACCTCTTAAAAAAATGCAATAACATATTGATCTTCTTCAAAATTTTCTTAAAAATTAGAAAAATATTTACTATGTTAATTTATAAGAATACGATCACACATTTATTTTTATTTAAACTAATATTTTATATAATGGCAATGTTAGCTTTCAGATATAAGTCTTTTTTTTAAATATTTAGATATTTTTACCCTATTCATGTAAAAATTAATATAAATGTTTGTCAATTTCTCAAGTTGTTTCTAATAATAATTTATTATTTATAATAAAAATATAATAAATAAAATGAATGAAACATATTAAAATCTGATTTCATTGTATTTTGAAAAATTAAAAAAAGTGCTCCCACAAAAGCTAAACTATTTTAAAGAGATTATCTCTAAGTTCTCAGGATAAGATAAATCCTATTTTGGAGATCATATAATTATTTTCAAATAGGGAATTTTGATCAAATAAAGTAAAACTAAAGAATTGACGTTAACAACTCTAATTGTAAATTATTAAAACATTTTAGAACTTAGTATCAAAAGGCTATATTGATGGCTGTTTATAAGACAATACAAATAACTTTTAATAATCTGAAATAAGTGAAATAACTGAGACAACAGGTAAAAAAAAAGAATCATCAATGAATGTGATTTAATCACTTATACATTTAGTATAATAATGCTTGGTGGATAAGGATGAAATAATTTTGTTAGCATTAAAATTATTGATATCACTTGCAATGAACCCATTCTGTAATATGTAATAACATGAACTAACAAAAATAATTAAAACAGTTGTGTATGTATATGCGCAATCTAAGTCTTAAAATATTGATAAATTATGTAAAAGCATTTTCTTATAAATTATTTTGATCACATTTCAAGGAAGTAATTGTGAAATTTTGGTTAAAATGACATTAGATAATATTGTAAATAAAGTTTCTAATCTAAAATATTGCTAATAATGTGGGAAATAAGGGAAGTTTGAATGTAGATAAAATAGAGTAACAGTGTGTTCTTATAGATGCAAGAAATATATCTAAGAGGCAATAGAAATACAATAAAAAAATTATGAAAATGCTTAGAATATATTTGATTTGTTAATTAGATTATTATCACCTAAGCAATAACTTCAATAGTTAAAAAATTAAATAATTTTACTAGAAGGTATTTATTTTATATGCGATAATTACAATTTTTGTATTTTGCCTTAAAGTATATACAATTTAAGTTCATACTTATTTAAATTCTGTTTATAAAATGAATATTAGTTATATTCGTTAAGTTTTAAAATATTTCAAAGATTAGCATTCAGTAAACATAAAGAAATGATTAACTAAATAAATATCTTTATAAACTAAATATATATTAGTGTTCTCAAAAACAAAAATACAAATGATTAACACAAATAAACAACTTTAGAATCTTTATAAAATATATTTTAAAGAAAGTATGCCTCGCTTGAGTTTTATTTGAATTACGATTGTAGTATAAAACATGAGTTTTTAATGGAAAATATCATAAATACTTTGCATAGTATTTTTTTATAAAATGAATAATTTCGACCTGTGATTACTTAAATATATCAATCAATCATTATAGGAATAAAAGAAACATTTATCGAAAAGTTTATAAATAGTTCTTAATAAGAGTAACAACAACAACCTGATATTGATGAAACTGTTTTTATAAACTAATTAGAAATGTAAAGACAACAAAAGTAAGAATTATAAAAAGGAATTGAGTTGTTTAAAAAAAACCCAGATAAAGGTGTATAATTTTTGATAAAAGCTAATATTTTATAAGAAGATCCAATTCAGATTGCTCGATTTTTATTAGAAAATAAAAGCTTAAATAAAGAGTGTGTTGGATAATATTTAGGTGGTCATCACCAAATTAATATATAAGTGTTAAGTGAATACACAAATTTTTTGAAGTTTCATAATTTCTCAGTTGAATAAGCTTTAAGACAATATTTGGATTTATTTACTTTACCACCTGAATCTTAGTAGATTGATAGAGTTGTATAGAAATTTGCAGATAAATTTTATGAAGATAATTAAAATAGTTAGAATTTTCACTTTAAATCTAGTAGTAGCATTTATACTTTTACTTATCTCTTAGTTATGTTATAAACTGATTTGCATAATCCAAAAGTTGTTGAAAAAATGAAATTAACAGATTTTATTAAATTAGCTAGATAAATAAATGATGGTGAAGATTTACCATAAGAATATCTGACAATTACTTATCATTCAATATAAAAAAATCCACTTGCAGTTAGAGAATCTAACACATCCATGAATGCATTAACATCTAATGTATATTAAAAATAAATGGAAGAACTTTTAAAGAAGATTAAAGAATTAATAAAAAGATAATCTAATTCTAATTACATTCCAATAGATTCAGAAACTATCTTTTTGTCAAAAGGTCTGATTGAATCATTTTCAGGTAAATTCTTAGATATTCTTTTATTTAATTTTGAATCCTCTCTTAATAGAGATAATTAAATAAAGAGTGTTATTTTATTAATTAAATTATCGTCAAGATTATCTATTAAAATAGAAAACTTGGTTTAAGATGTTTTAAAAGTTGGTTTAAATAGTTTAAGAAAAGGAAATAGTATGTTAATGATTGAGTTATTATCTATAATTCCAACTATTGGTAATTCCTTACATGAACAAGGATGGAAATCAGTTTTAGAAGTTGTTAGTTTAATTGATGAATTAAGGTTATTAGATTAAGACCATATAGAAAAGGTTTTTGTGTTTTCAAAAGATTTAGATAATTAATCAATTGAAGAATTTATTATTTAATTGTGTTAATTATCAAAATAAGAAATATTTTAAAAGAATCGTATATATTCTTTATAAAAACTTGTTGAAGTTAGTGATTATAATATGGATAGAGTCAAAGTGATATGGAATAGATTATGGTCTATTGTAAGTAATCATATTTAAGAAGCAGTCTCACTTAGAGTTAAAAAAATTACTATTTTTGCTGTTGACTCATTAAAATAATTGAATATCAAATTTCTATAAAAAGAAGAATTGTATAATATACAATTTTAAAGAGAAGTTTTAAAACCATTTGAATTGATTTATGCTCACAGTGATGTTGATGAAAAAGAATTTATATTATTATGTGTAAAATAAATACTATAAAATAGTAAGACATACATAAAGAGTGGTTATAAGGTAATATTTAATTTAATAAATGTTGGATTAAAAGAAGAAAATGATAAAATTTCAAAGTTAGCTTTTGATCTCTTGAAATTTATAGAAATTTAAGAATCGATTTTAATAGATTTAATTTAAACTTATTAAATTTTAGGAAAAAAAGATGATGAAAATATGGCAATAAATTCAATTTAATTTGTAAAACAATGCTAAAGTTATATGATAACTTAAGAGTAGCAAACATTATAAGTACCATTATTAGGAATTTTATCAAATTTGGCTGGTGATAAACGAATTCAAATTCAAACTCAAGCTGTTGAAACGTTGTTTTATATTTTATAAGAGAAAGGCAGTTTATTTAATGAAGAGTATTGGATTATGATATTTTCTTCTGTATTGAGGCCTATATTTGATGAAATACAATTTACTTTAAGTACTAATCCAGAACTCAACTAATACTGGTTTAAAGATAGTTGTTAAAAAGTGTTTTAAAATATATCAAGCCTAATTAAGATGCATTATACAAAATTAAAAGGATAATTATCAGATTTTCTAAAATTATTTTAAAATTGTATTTAAAATTAGAATGAAAAGTTAGCTTAATTAAGTATATAGGCATTTAAAACAATGATCATGGATAAAGGAGTCTAATTTGAATAAAAAGACTGGGAATAAATATTGTTATTTATATAATAGATGCTAAAATATACAATACCAACTAAATTAAAAGAAATTCATTAATCTGGAATTAGATAAGAAGAGTAATATACTGGTAAATTATAGTAAAATGAATGTTATAGTCAATGTGCATCTTAATTATTATTAATTTAAATTAGTAAGGATATATGCGAACTTTATTATCAGAAATGGAGTCTAAATCAATTGGAAAATTTGGAGATAACCTTTTTCGAATCATATTAGTTTGCTAAATTCTTTAATCAACAGATAGAGTTAAGATATAATATTTGGAAGTCTGGTTTTATGCAAGATATGAATGTATTACCTGGATTACTTAAGCAAGAGAGAGAAGCATTTTCTGGTATGATAATGATTATATAATTAAAAATGAAGATGTTAAAATAAGAATAATAAAAAGAATAATAATTGAGGGAATATTATTTGTAAGAATAATAGTTGAATTAAGAATAGTTGAATTAGCATTTAAAAAAAGAACAATAATTGAAAAATTAATATGAAATAGTCTTAAATAGATATTTGTAAATCTTGTTGGACTCAATTAAGCAATTCAATTCAAAACATATTTAATTTATAAATGAATAATAAGAAACTGAAGAAGATCCACTCATTAAAATAAAATCGTATGAAACTGAAAGAGATATGCAAAATCTTAGAACTCTCTTGGATGTATCAATTTTACCTAAGATTTTATTGTTAAATGATGATGAAGTAATTTTGATTATTAATTTAGATGAAACTTAAATTAAATGAGTTTTATGAATAATTATTGAATGCATGTAGTTTTATAGGCGAACATAATATATTATAAATGAGTTGTTAGGATTGTAAAAAATGTGTTAGATGTTTGAATTAATAGAAAAATAATTTATTTTTTCAAATTAAGAAATGCTTACTAAAATTGTTTGAGTTAAAATGATTATATATTATTATAAAAATGGAATAAATATTTATTTCTGGTATTGCAGGAGGATCCGCTGGGATTATTACAGATTTTATCTTCTTTCCTATTGAAACAATAAAGACTAGAATCTAAGCTTCAAATAATAAAATTGATTATTTCAAAACAGCAGCCAAAGTAAATAAATACAAAGGAGTATAACCATCTTATGTATTATTTGAAGCTTGTATCCTAAATTACAGTCTCATTTCCATCAGCGTTTATATTTTTTTCGACTTATGATACATCCAAAAAATATGGTTGTTCACATATGTTAGCAGGTGCATTAGGTGAATTTGTAACAAATATAATCAGAAATCCTTTTGAAGTTGTTAAAAATTAAATGTAAGTAGGATTGGATGGAAATGTTAGAGATACTTTAAGATCAATCTATTATGGTTAAGGATTTAGAGGTTTCTATGCGGGTTTTACAACAATAATAATGAGAGAAATACCATTTAGTGCAATTCAATTTCCAATATATGAAAATATGAAGTTTCACTTTGGTAATGATGGATTTGTAGATCATGCTTTAAATGGTGCTGTAGCTGGAGGAACAGCTGCTTTTTTAACAACACCATGTGATGTTGTTAAATCTAAATTGATGACACAAAGAAATTAATTTTATGATTCTCTTAGAGGTTGTATTAAGTCTATATATGAGACTGAAGGAATCCTAGGATTCTTTAGAGCTGCTCATATACGTACCATGTAAATCTCAATATCAGGAATTGTATTTTTTAGTGCATATGAAAGATGTAAATTTTATATTTCATCATTCAATAATAGATCATGATTATAGCTTTTTATTGAGATATTCTAATAGTGATTAAGAATTTAGGACATTCTCTAATCTATCTATAAAAGATATATGTTTCCCATGTAATATTCTATAAGTCTTCGTCTCTTCTAATGTAAGTTTCTCTTTTATTACTTGAAATCCTCCATTCTATAAAATTTGTGGTAAATAGTATTCACTACTCATCTTATTCTATAGAGTATATTTTCTAGAATGTTTTCCTTTAACTTAGATTTCTAATTTATCCCATGTTTCTTTTGATATTGACAAAAACATTCCTTGTTCAGTATTTGTATGCACATCATAAATCTATACTCTAATACCTATAGGTTTATCTTGTATACCCAAATAAGACATTGTAAATGGTATTTTATAAATACTATTTTAATTTGCTAATTTTATTATTTATTTTACTCAAAAACATTCTATTATTGCATTCACATGATAATTCAACTGGGAGAATTGCATTCTCTTTAAATCTTTCTTAATCGTCTGAATCTAATTCTTTTGTAAATGTCAATAATGTGTAACAATTACATAGTATATTACAAATTAAAAGAAAATCTCCTTAATCAAGATTACTAACATTTAATCCTAATTTTTAACAAACATTATCATATTAAATTTAAGTATGTCCCATTGCTTTGACTTTTGATTATCTTGGACCTAATTTTAATTCTATTTTTACCATAAGTCTCAAATGTATTACTTAAAAACAATTCAAAACATTGCTCTCTTGAATTATCAGCTATAAAAATTATTCTCTAAAATATATTCTTATCCCATATCTTAATTAAGCACATCTAAACTTTAGCCTAACTTTTATTAGGCATTGTTATTTAAGTACCACTTAATATTTTATTTATTTATTGAAATTTTTGTACATTAAAAAATCTATACAATAGCTCTTCTAAGTCTTTTATTAATTTTTATAAAAATTATGTCAATTTTTACTAATTTTTAACAATATAACTTCTTATATTGTAAACTTTATGCTTAGGTTTCACAGTATCGTTAGATTTCTCTAAATTATCCTAAATTTTTATCATTTCCTAAACTTCCTCTCTTTCATAATCGTCTTAACCATACACATCAAATAGTTGATCTAATGAACTTTAATCAAACTACAAATCTAAAGTAATTGAGTTTAATATCATGCGGAATACTCCGTCCTCCAAAGGATACAGTAATGGAATACAATATTCATCGCATAATTAAATCTTATCACCATCATTTAATAAACTTTGTGGCTATGCATAAATTGATATTTTTTATTCTCCTTCATCTTCTTTAATTGAAATAAATGGAATAATCAAGTATTAAATAAATTACTTAAAAGTAGTAATACATTTCAATTATTATGTATAAGGCAATACATTTTTATAATCTATGAATTATATTAAATCTTTTATAATAGACATCTCAACATACTCAATCTTTGCAGTTGAATGCTCTTATTTGGTATTTAATGATATCTTAATTGATAATTCCTTATTTTTCTATACAACCCCACAAGATATCTCATACAATACATTATCAATTAATGCTTTTTTCACTATTGTTTAATCTGTCGTTAAATTTATACTATATTATTTAGATTGATCCATCTCTAAATTTATGTTTAAAATTATTACAATCTAAAATTGTTAAATTTAAATCTAATGTGAAATCTGTATCATTTATCATTGATATGCTATTTATTTTTGGTTCGTCAGTATCTACTAATCCATTTATTAAATTATGAATATCAATTGTACTTTGTCTTTCTTATTTTTTAACCTATAAATTTTGAATCTTTTAAGATTGATTAGAAGCTATTCCAAAACTCATTCTTTCTTACATTATCGCAGGTTAAGAATCAGAACTTTATTGCTATTAAGTTGAAATTTAAGAATTTTGTAAATATTATTATTATTATTATTATTATTATTGTTGATGCTATTATTATAGAATTTACTATTGTTATTATTATTATTATAATAATTTCATCTTTTCTTAAGTTGCTTCTTGTTCTTATAATCTAAATTTGATTTTTGATGCTTCAGCACTTAACTAAGTTATTTTATCTTTTAATTCTTCAATTTCAATTTCTCTTTCTTTTCTTTAATTTTAAATTCTTTTATTTTCTTTTGTTAATTCATCTATTTTTTTTTCTAATTCAACAATTTTAGGTTCTTATTTCTTTTAACTTTAAGATTTCATAAATGTATCTATTTTACTTTGTATAATTTATTCAAGATCGCTCTAAGGTTATACTTTTTGGCTTTAGATCAACTAATAAAATTACGACTATTATACTTTTGGAGATTAAATTCTAAAACTTCCTTTATGTATATTTGTTTATTAAGTTTTTTGTACTTAATTTTGTTCATTTCTTTATGATTAGGGTTTGACTGAATCAGGTCGTTTAAAAGTTTTAAATCCTTAAGCTTCACTGATAGATCTTTCAATGTGCCTAACATTTTTAAATAATGGTGCTTTTCCAATTTTCAATGTCTTAATTAATTGATGAACTTAGTAACATACTTTTTATGAGTTTAATATTTTGCCTAATGGTTTTTTCTAAAATTATCGTTTTTAATAGTTACTAATGGAACATAATTGTTTATGCTTTTTTTCATATTAGACCCTCTTTCACTAAATAAAAATAGTTTTGTAATTTGATGAGTTGGTCCCAAATACTTTCGACCAAGTTTGGCTCCATTTATAAAAAATTATTAAAAATCTAAATCTTAACAAAATCCAAGAACCTATAAATTTTGCACTGTTTTTGCATAGAAAATATAACCATTTAGAAGAAGAACAATATCTTTAGGTTTACAAGTATTTTTTATTTCTTTGAAAATCTAATCTAATTAAATTGCAAAGACTTACATATGGTTCATAATTAATTAAAGCCTTTTCTGTAATAGAGAGACACTTTTTGAAATCTTACAAAAAATAATAAATTCTGGCTAAGTTTAAATGTGTGATAATATGTAGTTATGGGTTATCCTATTGAAAGTATTTCAAGTTAAATTTTGCTACTTTTTTAGCTAAATCTATTAAATGAGCTTAGAAAAGCAGCACAGTTAAATTATTTAGTGATTGAACTTAGTAAAAAGGAGGAACATCTTAAGATAATGAAATGGTTAAGATAATTAAATCAGGACTTTCTGGATGTTCTTCAAACATTTGAACAAACATTTAAAACAATTCGTACAAGTTTGAAGGGTCTTTTTTCAAATTTTTAATGAAATCAATAGGTATTGTCTTAACCTTAGCAAAATTGTGGAGTATTTCAATGTAATAATTATTCATATTAATAAAAATATGCAATATAATCCTTTATAATTATTATTGAGTCTATTAGCAGCTAGAGAAGAAGTTATATTTATGATCAGAATAGTTGGTCATTAAATGCATGAAGATTGTAGAAATAAACTAGGAACATTAAGAGAAATATAAGATGAAATTGTTAGAGGAGAATAAAAAAGAGAGAATTTAGAAAATCATTTATTTTTAGATTTAAACGAAAGCTATCGTAAGCTTTTTCTTCCTAAAATAATTTAGAAATATATCAAAATAACTTAATTTTATTTAGTTAAGACTTAAGTATGCTATTTTTAATTTATAAATAGATTTACTTTCCAAAGTAAGGATAAGTTGCATGTTAAGAAGTTATTAATTAACCAAATATACGAAATTCCATGTAAAATATTCTACACGAATCTCTTGTAAATATATTGAAATTTATTTGTTCCTTTTAAAAACAAAAATTAAAGCATGAACTTGCATAAATGTTCAATTATGAATAGTATAAACCTATTTAAAATCAAGAGAGGACCGTTGTAATAGAAATGAAAAGTTCTTTTGTGAACCACTTGTCTTGGGAGTAATGGGATTGCGCTATATGAATGAGTTGCACAAAAAATACTGTTATTCTGTATCCAGACATAATAATAGAAATGTTTATGATGTTCTAGTTATAGATGATAATTCTAAACAATTATATCTTTAAGGTGGAGGTTAATACATTCAATATAAATTAGGATTTTCCAGTTTTATTAGGAGCATTACTAAATTGAAGGATAAATCTGTTGATAACACTTAATCTGTATATATACCAATAGAAAGCACACTTGAAATAATTACTTAGAGATATGAAAAATTAATTAAAGAAATTATGGATTAAAACTATCATGTTCAAAAATCAGTTAATCGGTATTATGAATAATACAAAAAATATAAAATGAAGCCTTTGTTTATAAAAGGTTATGTTACCCCTATAAAACAGAGTTCAGATTTTAAATCGTAAAGAATGTAAAAGAGATAAATTGAATCTGGTCCTATCTTAAGTGATATGGGAAGATATTCTGAACCTATAACTAAAAATCCAATAACATCCGAATATCTAAACTCTGTTAGATCTAAATAGGCAAAATGTAGAACTTAAAAATAAAGTGATATTATTCTTAGTGGATTCATATCACCCAAATAATAAACTCTTGTTAGAAAGCATAGAAGTTTAAAAAATTATGATCCCTCTTTACTGAAACCAACAATCTTATAAAATTATTATGATTCTAACTTAAGAATTAGTTTTAACGTTAAAAAATCAACATGATTTTAATAATCAAATAAATAAATATATCTCATCTTTCTTATGTAAAATCATATAGACCAAATTTTTTATCTGATAATTTTATTAATATTCTACACTTTTAATCAGCTATCATGATCATCTTATTGTTTTATAAAATCAACAACGAAAATAAAATATTTTTACTTTAAAATTTCAAATTGAAAGTATTTCTAGTTAATTTTGCCTATGATTAAAATAAGTCTCTTATTTTTAAAGCTAATTTTTTTACTGGAAACTTATCTTATATCTATTTTTTGAAGGCATCATGATTGGATTAAGTTGAATGATACAGACTTTTTCTGTTTCAACTTTAGAAATTTTGATATCCTTAATCAAAATATCAACTGGTTGACTTGCTGCAAAATTTTAGAGTAAATACTTAATATCTTAATGATCCATAAATATATTTAAGTTCTTCATTAAATTTATGAACTCAATATGAATTATAATGTATATTGTTTACTAATATAAATTTAGTTTTCGTAATTTTATTTTATTTTTTTTTCAAAATATATCTAAACATCGAGATTAGAAATACAAATGTCGAAAGACAAAATACAAATATAAATCATGATTTCCTAAGATTAATTATAATATGTCCTAAACATAGATGAGACGTTTTAAAGAATGTTTAAAATAAATTTAATTGCAAGACAATTAATGTTCAATTAGAATTTACTACTTAAATGATTTTCTAATTATTTTTGATTAATATCGCCATCCATAATAAAATTATTGATGATGAATTATTTTATTAAAAATATTGATTGACATTAACTTAAATTCTAATTTGAGTATGACAATATAGTTTTTCGGATATTAAAATGATTTTATGGATTGAAAAGTAATCATACATCGTAGTATTTAATCATAAATAATTAATTTGTCAAAAAAATAAAAAAGAATGAATCAAAGTCGCAAATAGTAGAGTCTCCAAAAATCAAAGACTTAAAATATTTAAATAGAAAAGAAGGAAATTCGCTCTAAGCAATACGAGAAAACATACTCTAAAGCAATACATCCTTCTAATTTGTAATCAAAACCTTTATCTCTAAAAAATTTAGATTTAGCCTTACCTAACAAGTATTCATACAATAAAAATTACATAGGTCAATATCTTAATAAGATAATTCATTTTAAGATGATAAAAGTTGTTGCTGTTTCGACTGCGGAAAGTTGAGCAAGAAAATAAGAAATTTATAGAAAAAATTCTTGTTGTTCCATACCAAAATGTCATTGAAGGAAAAGTAGAGATTAATTAAGAGATTTTAAAATGCTGTTCATTGCATCATTTATCTGATAGAGAAATGGAAAAAAGTAAGATAATTAGAAAGAGCTAAAAGACTCTTAAGGTTTAAGACAAAAGTTTTTGAAAATTAACCTTTCTTTCAATCTTAAACTCCTTCGAATTAGGCTTAAATACTATTTTAAAATTCCTAATTTCAAAATGAAGAAAAATAAGCAATAAGTTCATAGTTATAATCGATTTAAGTAAAAATTTTTGATTAAAAGAACAAATAAAGGTAATAAGTAAAGTTATATTTATAATAAAAACTTAATAATAAAAATGACGGGTAAGGATTGCTTCCAAAAATAGATTATAATAAACAGAGTAATTCAATTGTAACTTCAGTATTGAGACCTATAAGGATTCTAAAGACACTTGGAGATGAATAAAAATCGATTCATAAAGAATAAAATTTATCAACTTAAAAATCATTTGTAGTTCAATCTCCTTATCTAAGCCATTAAAGCTTAATTAAATAATAAGATTAATAAATCTAAGTTATAAAATCGCCTCGATAGATTATAAAAAGTTTTGCTTCAGAAATATTTTTTCCATAAAAAACTTAGAAAACTGAATAAAGAAAAATGATTATTTAAAAATTAAGAAAAATAGAATGATTATATTTTATAATAATTAATAATTTTTCTATATAAATTTTGGTAATTTTTAAATATTAGAGTATTAGTTTTGATGTATGAATATAATATTTACAAGAATAATAAATAAAATTTCGGAAGATAATAATTATATTTTGCAATTATTTATAGATTAAATTAGCAATTTATATTAATTATTATGTTTTATAATTTCTAATTTAATTTATTTATAAAGACTTTAATTTTAATTAACAATTTGAAATTCAAATAAGTAAATTAAGGTTTAGTTAATAGACGTCAAAATTTCTGGAAATTTTAGAAATAAAATAAACTTGATAGAATAGTCTAATTTTAACATCAAACATGTGTGGTTTGTATAAAGTAATATAGAAAGTTGTAAGATTGTGCATAGTTATGATGAGATTATATTTAATATAAAGAAATGATGATTAATTTTTTATAATAAATTAATTAAAATGCAGAGATCATATTAAGAACAAGTGAATTAGAAGGATTACTAACATAAATTATATTTTAAAAATGGTTATCCTTAGAATTAGTAGTTCAAGAGAGATCCGAATTAAATGCTTAGAGGATTAGTATAAAATAAATAAAATAATTAGGTTGTAAAAACATGTTTACTTCATTTTATAGATTGGTTGAAATAAGGATTTAATTTGTGGTTGTTTGTAGTAATAATTCTATCAGCTAGTTTTAGAGCTGATCAATAGTTGTTTATTTGTATAATATAATTGGCCGGAAATTTATTTATGTCATCTTATAAGCTTTATCAATAAATTTGTAAGGCTTTGAGATAAGTAAATGAATATTTTAATTAAACTGTATATGTGATAGGATGGGATCCTAAATGTCATATAAGTAAATGCCCAAAAAGGAATGTGATAGTAGGAAATTTGATATTTTTGAAGAGACATTAACCTAGTCCAATGAGCATATTAATTTTGAATTCATAAGAAGAGAAGTTTATGGTTTAGACATCAGAGAAGGAAGGAATGACACATATGACATAAAAACAATCAATAAAATTAACATCTACTTCAGATTAATAAAAAAATCAAACTCTAATTTATTATAAAAGGATAATGACAGGTAAGATAGAATTTGATTAGTTGGATACAAATGATAATTAGTTTAGAGGGTTTATAAAATTATAAAAGGATCCAAAGGGTGAATATTTAGATTATAGAAATATCGTAAATTAAAGTAGTATGATAATAAATACAGATTGGGTAGTTGGTATAGTAATTAGTCATGATGATGAAGATGTAATTAAGATGTGGTAAAATTGTTTTAAAAAGTCTACAACTCATTTTGATAGATATTTAATGAAATTTTCTCGAATTTTTAGTCTTTTATACTTTATTTAGTTAGCATTTTGTATAACAATAATAATTAGATTTTAAACGAAACCTGATAATTTTACAACGTATAACATTTTGTGTAGAATATTTTAGAGTATAACATTTGTTCATCCTTGTATAATAACAGGATTATGTGAGTTGACATTTTAATTTTTTAATAATATTTTTGAGAAGAACAAAAATATAATAATATCTCATTCTTCTGAATTATTAACATTGACTAAAATAGATCATTGTATTTATGATAAAACAGGAACTTTGACAAATACAAATACGGTCTTATGTGGAGTAATTTGTGGTGTTTATTTTTACAATCTTATTAATGAAGAAGGTATAAGAAATTCAACAAAAAAATATAGAAAATTAATGACAACACAACATCAACATAATAATATGTAAGAAATTTTAGAAGAATAAGATGATCAAGAAGATGTAGTTGGATCAATTTAGAAAAGTTAGGGAGTGATATAAAATCCAGGAAGTCATCATTCAGTTAAGAGTAGATTATAATCATAACATGATGAAAATATTAGTTTTAATTAAGATGATGCAGTTTTTAATGAAGAGGAACCTGAATAAAAAAATATGGTCTTTAATTTCAATCCACATTTCATTAGATAACCAGAATAAAATAGACATCGTTAAAGTATAGATGAAGAGAATTCGTCACCAGAAAAACCAATCTAAGAAAATAGAATTAATAGGAAAACTATTAATAATAATAGTCAATTTATAAATAGATCG